ATTTCCGACATGACTTGAAATGTCTTAGATTTTGATTAAGCTTACTTATGTTCAGATAAATTACCTTAAACTAATAGAATAGTCGATTGTTAAGATATTTAGTTACGGATTAAGCTTTGTTAATACCATTTGCTACCGCACGTACATACCAGCGACTTCATCCGCGAGAATCGTTATTTTGGGGATCCCAATTTGTTTTTACAAACCTCTACATCTTTATAAATTTGTCTCTAGTCGGTATTAGTCTCAGCGCGTTGTTATAGCCTTCCACGATAAATACTCTACTAACTCAAAAATATTTTTTTCAATTCGAACCTGTAGGTAGGTCCGGAGATTTGCGCGGTCATACCAACAAACTCTTCAGCTTTATATATAAGTATAGATTTATATATACTATAAATATTAGAAAACTCTAAAATGTTTACATGTTATTTCACACGATGGCATTATTATAGATTAAAAATCAATTATAAGTTGAAAAAAATTACGGCTCGGGCAGGACCGTCAAAAAAGAATTAAAGTTTTCAAACATTACACTTTGTAATGATTTGATTAAAAAAAACATCTGTTTTAGATAGACTTATCAAGGAAGGTTGTATTTGACTAATAAGAAGTGGACCAGTGGAAATATGGAAGATCAGAAAAAAATATTCATTTCAGAGAGCTTCCGTCGTGTGCGCTGCGTAAACGGTTCAAACAATAAATAATGACGCATGAAAGATTCGTCTTGAAATTATTTAAAAAAATGCGCGTGAAATTTTAATGGTTATTAAACTATAATTGAAGGATTACGTTAACGAACGCTAGACACAATATGTTGAAATTACTAGGTATATGTGGCAAAAATATGTCTTTAAGGTGCTTTGACATTTCTACCTAATCTAAATTACAGATGAAAGAATCTGACGCACCCAGCTACTAAGTTCAAGTTAGAGCTTTCCCAATTGTTCACATCTTCACGGTCGATATCGTTAAGTCTACCGCATACGCGGTGTATGCGGTAGATGTTTACCATTTTTTACAAAATACAATATGAAATTAATAATATACCTTCATTTTAGGTAGGAATATTTAAATTCCGTCCGGGCCACGAACTACGTTTGTCTTTCGGGTCCTCTGTGGATTTTTAAACTTCTAAAAGCGACAGTACATCTCGTTAAAATATGGCTATGGTATACCTTCCAGCAACAGTACCTGATGTTTGTCTACCGTCCCTTTTGATAAAATACACATAAAAATCTATTTAATTTTTTCAAAATAGCGCTACTAAGTGGTAGAACCAATTGAGCTACCGTGTCAGAGCTTAGATTGATTATAGCCAGCACAGAATACTGTAGTTGCTGGTTTAAGTCCCGCCCATTGAATATTTAAGTATTTGATTTAAGTATAAGGTATTGTATATTACCCAGTGTGCAGCTGCCAAGAAGTCCAAATCTATCACCAATTCGAAGGTCACCTTTTGTCTTTGCATACCACACAGCTTCCTTAGTGAATCAGCTCGCCTTGACATGTGCGTGGGATAAACAATAGTAGGATTAGCGCATCCAACATAAACATATCGTCTATTTTTACCTCCATGGGACATTAATGGTGAAACAATAAAACAAAGCCTCGAAGAATTATCCTTTTTATACGCAGTTGAACAAGCTGCGTTGTTTATTGTCATTGTACTATTTTATTTAATACTGTTCTCCTCAATCCCTCTATTAGCAGACACATTTATGTGTCCGTTTGACAACTTACATATAGATCATACCGTACTTCGTAAATCCTTGCTACCTGCAAGGATTTACGAAGTACATAGTTTACATATTTAAATAAACTCTTTTAACGGTTCAAAACGCGCAATGTATTAACTTATTTCTCCCTATGAAACTACATTTCGGCTGTTGCTTAAATTAGGTTTAAAAGATATTAGTACTTAAGTAAGTACATCAACGTAAGTTTTATCTTCGTCGAATTTCTGCTCCTACCTTTTTTTGTTAAACGCCAGAATATTGAACTGCTCACAAATCTGCCTATGCGCATACCGAACAACTCCTTCGTTTATCGTGTGAACGACGCAATAATAAAAACAAATCATAGCTTTTTGCAACAATGAACTTTTAGTATTCGATACAACCGACATTTCGGAATGATAGCTATGTCACAATACAATAAATTCTTCTTTATAGATCAATTTTAGACTATTAGTATTTAAAGCTTTTGGTTGCAGTGTTTACATATGAGAAAATCGAAGAACGAATAGGTATTTTTAAAACTACCCCCTTTTTTTGAGATTTTAATTTTTCAGCAGTTTTTGTCTTTAATTTGAATTATAATTCTTTTAATTTTTATTTCCAATAATTTTTATACACAGACGGGAGCTTAAAAATATATATTGGTGTGTATTTCGTTCTTTATTTTTTTGTGTATATCCATCACTGGTTTAAAATTTCATTTCTAAAATACATAAACGTTGAATAACCTATTTATATTCTTAAGAAAAATGTTAATTTTAAACTGTTAAAAATAACAGATAGCCCCCCAAAGAGTTAACAACAGATAGACGTCAAAACTCACTTATTATGTAAGCATTTAGTGTACACATATTTTAAATTGTATCAGGTATACAGGTTTTAATAAAACATTTGTAACGGTTTAAAACGGGAAATATAGTAGTTACTTATTTGCAAATAAAAATACCTAAACCGCGTAAACTATTGACAATAAATACACTATAACTTATATTACAATTAAAATAATATTTCCTGTAGAGCTTCACATTTTATAAATACAGCCCAGTGAACCATATTTGACAGCAGTTAAAATAACCTTTTAGATATACGAATAGTATGTGTGGGTCGGTCTATGCATTTTTATCTAATTCATTGATCGAGAATATGGTCTTGGCTACGTTTTTAGACAATCTTTTGTTGTTAAACAATATGTCGATCAAAGTGTAGGATAATCTGTTTAACCTCGATTCAATTTACCATGTATAGATTTGAAAAATATATGGTTGAATAAAAATTCATATTTAGAAGAAAAACATCGTCAAACAGGTACATTTCAAAAAACAAAACTCTGTTATCACCGATCACTCAAGAAATGATCAATTCACACACAATTGCGTTAAGCACGATAGGTTCGAATCCCGAACAATAAATTGTTTCGGTCGGGCAGAAAACAGAAGTCTGATCAACTAGTAGAATACTGTCTATAGTTTACTTTAACAGTTTAAAACGCGATATATTAGTTAATCTTATTTGAAAATGATTTTTAACTTCGGCCCGACGTTTCGAACGCTTTGCAGCAGCAGTGGACACGGCTCATGGCACGGTCTCCCGGTTTTAAACCGTTAAAGTGTTTTATTTAAACTAGTAGAATGCAATAAGTTCTACCAGTGCTATCAGTGAAACGGGAACATAATGTTTTCGACCTTGTTGACATCGGGAAACAGGGGGTCTTTAGGGGGAGGGGTGTCTTTAAGGGGCGTGATTCTTAGAAAATAATTTTTAAAGTTCTAACGAAGTATGATATTTTTAAATAAGTAGTTGTACTTACTACTTCTAACCATCGCATTTTGATAAGGGGATATAATCCCTTTACATATAATTCAATAACTAATTTAAAAGCTTACACTGTCTTTACATATACACTTGCAACACAGTGTTTTAAAGTTCAACATAATTCAAAGAAATCTGTAAAATTCTCATCGTTATCCGAATTATTACTCACTTTGTTACGATTGCAATATTAGACAATTCTATTAACATTCTAATTACTTGTATTGTACGCAATTGTGTGTCTCTACGAATAAGTTATTTGTTGAAAAAGATTCTTTAAACGAACTTTGAATCAATTTCATACTACGCGGTATATTATTAAAATGACATTTCCTTATCACATAATAAAGTAACAATGTTATTAATTTAAAATTAATTATTTTACAATTACGTTTACTTTAAAAAGATTACGTATTTTAACCTTAATATGTAATTTTAAAACTTACAATTTAGATTTACACAGACTATACTTTTAATACACTTTATAACAAACTTACTTTATTATTTAACCCACGGCGCAGTATTTCGACTGATACTCAAATTGTTAAAAAATATTTTAAGACTTAGTAAAAGCAATTACATCAACGTTTTTTTAGGTATATTTATCGTAAATAAAGGTAAAGATTTTCATAAAAATTTTATATAATAAATTATTACTGTTAATAACAGATAACAATATTAAAAACACAAACAACATAGTACTCTTATATGATTTGTTAAAATTAATATTTAAGTACCGTTAATCGCAAGAGGTCCTGTGTTCGAATTTCGAGAAACAATATATTATTTCATTAAGGCATGGCAAAACATGGTAAAATAACTGATCACTCAAACGGACAAAACTCTGTGTCTAATGAACCCCCCCAAAGGGGAAAACGGGGTTGTGACGTGTCGTACGCATTTGAACTCGGAATTAAGCAAAAATAATTTTTGCTAACTAAAGGAAGAAGTTATGACATGCCTTAGTTGCTTCACCGAAAGGTTAGTTTCACACACTCTTTACCATAATTCGCCAATAACAGAGCAGATAAAAATTCATTCAGATCACCAATGCGTGTACAATGCCCATAAACAACGCTTCTTCGCATAAACTGCTTGTTAAAACTCTATACACTATGCAATGTGTATTTGCAGACGATATTTCGCCGTAATCACTAGAATTTAAAAGCGAAAGTTGCATCTGTCTATACATCAATTTTGGGATTGCTAAGTTCGTTACGATTTACTATTAAGCAGATTACATGTATAGAATAGTGCATGGAATTTTATCCTCTATTGCAAGGCGATAAGATCGAAGTTTTTGTGTCGTTTTTGGAATGGAATGCTCAATGTTCTCGTCGGGTACGCGTAATTTGAGGATCCTACTGTGACCTTGACAATGGAGCTATCAGCTATATAAAGTAGGCAAGATGTCTGCAGCATCATTCGTGAAGAGTTACCAGAACAGCCAACATGCAATTGGTACGTCAAACCAGTCAAGCCATTATTTAAAAGCGAAAGGTTTATCGTGATTCAATTGTTATAAAATTTTACGTAAACATCCCTTTGTGCAGTGATTATACTTTCAACTTAAGTTTATTCTATTTACCTTAAGCTACTGTGTTAAATAATATTGTGCGGTTTTTACACTAAAAAATAAGAAATTCACTACGTAACACATTTTTAACGGTTTAAAACGTGAATTTTTAAATGTAATATTTTTTTATTAACAGCGATGTTATGGATGTTTAACAGCTGTGGTTATAAATTTCAAAATTTAAAGGACTTATGTCTTAAAAAAGAGAAGCGCTTTTAGCCTTACAAATTTCTAATAAGTTACAAAACGACTATTTTTTCGTGGGTTCGAATCCTGGTTGTATCACCTAATTTAATTAATTTTAGTATCTGGATACGTAAGTTTGAAATTACATTGCGCGATAGGTGCATTTTTCTATAGGTTGAAATGTAGCTTAGTGGTAAGAGCAGCACGGATTATTGTAGGTGCCGCTTCAAGTCCTGTCCGTGTCGTTCTTTTCAATCAATTTTTAATTATTAACTAATTGAATTTTATCAATTTCAGCTCATCATCGCTTCCGTAATCGGTCTGTGCGCATGCGGCACCCTACCGCAGTACAACAACTACAACCTACCACAGTACAGGCAGTACTACCAGGAACGACCCAGAGCTTCGCTTGAGAGAAACGCAGCCATCTTGAGATCAGTTTCAGATGCCAATGAAAATGGTTACCACTACGCCTACGATACAGAGAATGGTAAATTATTAAACAAATATATTTATTTTTATGAAAGAGGTGGACAGACAAACATGGGGTCACTAGGTAACCGAAATAGCCCAGTCATATAACATCTAAACCCAATGCGTTGTCGATCTATTTTAGCTTCAATACACAGACTGAAATTTAAATTCGATTAAACTTCACGGCTTTTTCATCTGTTAATGGTTCGAGAGCCGGACGGAATATAATTATTAAAGTCAATATTCCTATTATTAATTTAATATCCCGATTTCCAGAGGAAGTCCAATACTGTTTAAAAAAAATATTAGTAACATGTTGCATCGTGCGGGGATCGAATGCCCGACCCTCTGTTTATTACCCATACATTGCTACTAATATACCGATGATCTTGTTTGTATTGAATATATATATTTACTAATTAATCTATATCAATATTAAATTAACATAAAAGTATTGTCTGTACTTTACGACATTAGTTCAAATTTATAGAAAACATAACGCAACGGTTTAAAATGCGGAATATTGTAGTTAAACTTATTTTGTATTTATCTTTGTTCCCCCGCAACCGCGGCTGCTGCAAAGCATTCAAAACGTCAGGTCATAGTTAAAATAAATCAAAAGTAAGTTTAACTAATCATAATATTATATGTATTTAGTTTAAAATACGATGTTAATCTATCGACTCTTAGACATTTTTCTATCTCTATAGGCCGATACTATCTCACACAAGTTTCAGTAAAATAATTCACGACAAATTTATTTCTCTCTAAATAAGCTTAAAGTACGTATTGTAGTGAATAGCTTATTTTAACGACGCGATGACACTGACGTAATACGTTAGGAGAGTTTTATTATCACATGTAAGTCATACTTTATTCCCAGGTATTCATACGCATGTACAGAGGAATTTTTTTATCATATCTTGACTATGGAGACTCTTAGTAACTTTTATTTTATTTAAATAGCGGATTTGTAAAAAAATGATAAAAATTTTCGATAGATACACATATTTGACGGGCTCACGGTAGCAATGTATGGCTACCAATCATCGGGTCGTGGACTCGATTCCCAACGGGTCCAACATTTTTCCAATCAAATTATAATCATCTGACATGGATATTAAATAGATGATGGGAAAATCGAAATTCCATCCGGGTCAAGAACTACTGTTCACGGATGAAAAGCCGTGAAGTTTAATCACGTTTCGATTTCGGTCTGTGGATTTCAAATATCTATAGTCTCCATATTTTTTTGATATTTCACCTACCATCAAGTGGACCCCGTGTCTGTCTGTTGTCCTCTATCATTAAAAAAAATAAGATATCTTAAGGTTTTATTAATTAAAGGACTCCATTGCTTTTAATAAAGGCGTTTGATTTCTTTCACTAACCAGGCATCCAAGCTGAAGAAACTGGAGTAGAGAACAACGGGATCCAGGCCCAGGGAGGCTACTCGTATACCGGCGACGACGGTCAGGTATACAGCGTCAGATATACTGCTGATGCCAACGGCTTCCAGCCCCAAGGTGCCCATCTGCCAACACCACCACCAGTGCCAGAAGCCATCGCCAAGGCGTTACAGGAGAACGCCAGGGACGAGGCTAACGGCATTTTTGATGACGGTTAGTATTTATAAGGGTTTTAGATATCTTCTCTACATGAGAAGAAAAAGAGAAGTGAAAAGTTTGCTTTGGTTAAACTTATATCCAATAAAAAATATAAAAGGAAACAATCTGTGCCTCAATAAAAATAAAACTCGTCGCCCAGCTCTACAGATCTTTGGCTTGAATCCCCGGAAAGAGATTCCGAGATCTAATTACTTAACTTTCATTGGTTTTTTATAATTTGCAATTTAGTAATTAAGTATTGTCTGTTCGCGAGAAGAGCACAATTAAATAAAACCATTTTAACAGTTCAAATAGAGAAATATATTAATTAGCCAATTTTTTATTACGGCCCGACGTTTTGTCGGTCCCCCTGTGACCACGGCTGCTGCAATTCGAAACGTCGGTCCGTGGTTAGAAACGAATATATTTCGCGTTAAAATTATTTTAACTACGGCCCGATGTACGGCCGTATATATCGCGTTTTAAGGCGTTAAAGTGTTTTATTTTGATCCATATTGCTTGTCTGTCCTCCTTTGTCATAATAATTATACAACCAAAGCGTTAATATAATAATCTATCTATTTCAATCGCATCATATTGCGTCAAAAGGAATTTAATATCAATATTTATGGCTTGGGCGTAATATTCAAGGATTTGAGAATCCAAGTTTCGAGATATTAGGAAATTAAGATTCAAACGGTCTTTATTTTTATTTATGACTTTATTGGCAATGATGGGCGGTCGAACGAATGTTTATGGAAATTCGTTTATTTTATGAGACGGTTACGCATCTATGACTTAGAAATAAGAAATAGCGTTTAATGACGAGTAATAAGTAACGACTTTGTTTAATTTTTATTTTAAGATAGTTAATTAAATACAAAAGATAAATTAAATTAAGATGAAAGTAGTATGTTCTATTTTTTCGACGTTTTTTTTTTTTTTTTTCCCCCCCCAACACCACCACAACATCGCCGAATCACGTTCGTGGACGGCATCATCGAACACCGCGAGATTGCTTCGTTGACTCCTCGATTGTCAAATAAAATTGATTAATTAAACGCGCAAAACTTAGTTTACAGCAGGAATAAGCTAGAGATATTTAAATTTAAATAAAACACTTTAACGGTTTAAAACGCGATTATTTCAACAACGACCCGACGTTTCGGAATCTTCCCGTGACCACGGCTGCTGCAAAAGCATACGTAACGTCGGGCCGTAGTTAAAATAAATTTCAAATAAGTTCAACTAATGTATAACGCGTTCGAATCGTTTAAGTGTTTTATAATTTTTTTTAATTCAATTTAATAAGTTGGTTTTGACAACCCTACACAAGAAGCCTAAGGCTGTATTGGCGGAGGTTGTAAAATTGATAGATGTTCATAATTAATGGCTCACATTGATATTTAAATCTCATTAAAGTCGTTTGAACTCTGTCGTAATTGCTAACTCTGTTTGAACTCGACCGCGTAACGAAGATATAATTGTTTCAGTAGCGTAGAAAAAAATCAATATTACATTTTGGCTATAATTAGTGTTATGTAAAACTTAACGCGTCAGCCTTATGATCCAATCGAGAGAATAAATAAGGTAGATAAGAAATACATCAGCCATGAATGAGATGTGTTGTCGATCTATTTTGGCTTTGGATATTCGGAGACTAAAATCGAAGAGCAATAAACGTTGTGGTGGGTCATGAACAGGACGGAACTTCGATATCCTTATCACCCATTTAATATGCAGATTTTTAAAGTCCAACATTTTCAGAAAAATTACAATTTGATTAGAAAAAGGTTGGACCTGGTGGAGATCGAATCCACGACCCGTTGATTAATAGCCATATATACCATTACACCAACAAGAACGTCAGAAGATATATTGGATAAAGACACGTAGTTTACAGTAGACAGTCAAACATCTTTATTAAATGGAAGGTGATATAAGCCAGCCATATAACATCTAAACGAGATGCGTTGTCGATCTTTTCTAGCTTTGAGCAATGATTGCCTCGTCGGGTCGGTTCTATTCTTTTTTTGTTTACAGGCAGCTACCACGACGGCAAATACGACGCTGGTGTTATCGCGTCTCGGACCTACAACCCACAGCGATTCGCAGCACCTGCGTACAGACCATACCGCTTCTAAAATTTCTCGTGCCATCTAGTATTATCCAAATGTTATTCAATAAAGTGATATTTTTTCAATAATCATTGCATTTTATTTGCTCCCATAATTCCCGTTGGTGTATTGGTAGTGACTCATTATTAATAACTTATGGGTCGTGGGTTTGATCTCCATTTGGTCCGACGTGTTTTTTAATCACGTTTTGATATCTGTTCGTGGATTTCCGAATTTCCACAGTCAAAAATAGATCGTCAGCGTAATTTGTTTAGATGTTATATGGTATACACTATAATCGCGCCCCCTTCCCCCCCACACTCAAATAAAGTTCGCCTCTATACTTTGGCTGTCAAACATGTTAAGCAAAAAATAGTTCGTTTCTTGTGTCATAGACAAGAGGTTTTGCCTTAAATAAAATAAGACTATATATTAGAATCAGACCTGTTAGATTGTAAACAAAAGAACTTTTCTTTTAATTAAAACACTTCTAACGGTTTTAAAAGCGTAAAGTATATTAAACTGATTTGAAAATTATTGCCTCCATTGAACACGGCTGCTGCAGAGCAACCGAGACGTCGGGCCGTAGTGATAATAAATTTCATATAAGTACGTATCGCGTTTTACACCGATATAGTGTTTTATTTAGAAGTATTCTTTTGTTCACATTCTAACAGGTTGAAGATATACGTTCAATTAAGTATTGTTCTTTAAAGAGAACAATGAATAGCGGTAACATAACGCAGCAATTTGGTACTTGGTCATTATCTTTTAAAAACAATAGCACGCTGAGATTTGTTCGCCTAATTATATTGTTGGATGTTTTGGCAAATTGCAGATTCAGCTTTTCGACCGTATTTATGGAGGCTTGTCTCACACTACCTAACTTACGTCGTTTCATTTAAGCCGTTAAAACTTTATTTTATTTGAGCCTGTACTTAGAACAACATTTATCCAAAAGTTATTTTAAAATACTGTATCTGCCTTGTCCGTCTATCTATCGGGAACTATATCATAAAGAAAAATGAAACGACACTTTTAAATAAAACACTTTAACGGTTTAAAACGCGATATATTTTTAGTTAAACTAGGGTCCGATGTTTCGGATGCTTTGCAGCAGCCGTGGTCACGGGGGACTGCCCGGCTGCTGCAGAGTTGTTAAAAATAATTAAAAATAGTTAAAAATAACTTTCAAACAAGTTTAACTAAAATATATCGCGTTTTAAACCGTTAAAGTGTTTTATTTAAATGAGTACTACTCGCGTAAACTACAAACAGTGTTACGCGACGCTTTAACAAAAGTAATTAAATCCTAAATAAATAAAAGAACTATGAAATTTAAAAACAATTTATTTATTTATAAATATAAACAGCGCTATCCCTTATGATAAGTAAGACAATTATAACAATTTCTTATAGAAATCTATATCTATACTTCTATGCTAATATATAAAGCTGAAGAGTTTGTTTGTTTATTTGTTTGTTTGTTTGAACGCGCTAATCTCAGGAAGTACGGGGTCGAATTAAAAAAATATTTTTGGGTTGGTTAGAGCAATTATCGAGGACGGTTATAGACTACAAGACATTGCGTTATGACTAATAGGAGCGAAGATACAGCGAGAAATGCGAACAAAACGAGGGAAATTCTTCATCTCTATAGGTTTCAGATGCGTACGCGGCGAAAACGATTTAAGATACCTAAAAACTATGTATGAAAGAATTATTCCCCTATAAATGATCTGAAAAAAGTCCGGGATGCTATATGTCTATCTTTTAAGATTAACTTGCAAGAACGACCCGAACGGCGGGACGCGTACGACGGGATACGAATATCGTGGGGTAACAGCTATCTACACTAATGTTATAAAGAGGAAAGATTAGTATAACCTCAAGAAGTACTGGACCCATTTTAATAATTCTTTTATTTATTTTTTACCATTTATAATTTTTTATTTAACTAAATTATAGATTGTAATAATTTTATAAATGCGAAATTAACGCTGTCTGTCTGTCTGTCCGGCTTTAACTCCGAAACTACTGAACTGATTTAAATGAAATTTGGCACATAGATATTTTGGAGTCCGAGAAAGGACATAGGCATATTTTTAATTCCAAATAGGGATTTATAGGGGCTAAAAAGGGGGATGAAAGTTGTTGAAGGTAGAACAATGAAACTTTCTTCTTTGGTTTTTCAGAATAGGAGTGGGAGTGGGAGTGGGAGTGGGAGTGGGAGTGGGGTGGGAGTGGTGGAGTGAGTGGGAGTGGGAGCGGGAGTGGGAGTGAGTGTAGGAATGAGAGTGGGAGTTAGAGTAGGAGTGACGTGAGGTGAGAGTGTTGCGGCAAAACAACACATACAGCATAGATTGGCTGCCCTAAATGCGCCCTTACATAAATTAAAAAACAGTCTAAATAATTAAAAATTCTACCCCAATTTATCATTGAATAAATTGGGGTAGAATTAATTGTCATTATTCCACGGACCATTACTCAGAGACAGTTTAATAAGTTGCAGTAAGAACGTCGTAAGATATAAATTAAAAAAAGCTTAACTGCGAGAAACAGTGTCTTCTACAATACGTCAAAAAGGAAGAATATAACAGTGTATGTTGGCAAGGCAAAAAATACGCCTTAAACAAAGCTACACTCAAATTCGTTAGTCGTAACATGATTGTTAAATTGCATTCTTCGTCTAAACATTCGAAGGTAGAATTTTCAACAAAATTGTTAACTTGAAAAGTAACATCAATTTTTTTATTATATAATAAAATAAATATTTATAATGTATAATACACACCATGAAAATAATAATTAATAAAGAAAAATCTTACGTATACTTAAATAAATAAAGGGCAGCCTTATCGAGAGCGATCTCTTCCAGGCAACCTGAAGTAGAGGAGAAAAAAATAGAAATTTATTTCAGTCAGTGATTTCGCTGTTTATCTGTCAGTTACGGGTTCGAATTAAAAATTATTTTTGTATTGGTTAGAACATTTATCGATGAACCCTATAAACATCGCCCTGTAACTAATGCAAGGGAAATACGGCGAGAAATTAAAAAAAATAGAAAAATGGATAATTATTATGGGTTTTCGAGGCGTACGATGCAAAAACGGTTCAAGATAGCCAAAAATATGAATAAAAAAATGATTCCCCTTTCCTTGACCTAAAAAAGTTCGCTATATGACTATCTTTTCAGATTAACCTGCAAGAGCGACGGGAAGGGACGCGACCGACGTCGCTGGTATCAGTTTGTTTGTCTTTTATATATATTGCAATTAATATTACGGCTCGAAAATTAATGTGATAAGTTCAACGACAACTTGTATAGACAATATATATATAGACTAATTTATTTTTTTTAATTTTAGAAGTTTAACTAATATATCGCGTTTTAAACCGTTAAAGTGTTTTATTTAAATGTGTACTACTCGCGTAAACTATAGACAGTATATATAGACTATTTAATATACAACCCTTCTATCTATATAATTACTCCATTCATAATTAAGGCCTACATCCTAAAATTAAACGAATAAAAAAGCATCGTAAGTATAAATAACACATATAATAATATATTAAACGCATATAAAACTCCCATCTAAATACCATTAACGAATATGAAATTGCAATTTTGTAATTACAACATTGTAAAAGTGCGTGTACACTGTTAGTAAGCATTTTATTAAATCTGAAGGGGGTTTGTAAGGGGTTAAAAGGGGGTGTGAAAAGTTGTATGGAGATTCGTAGATTTTTGAAGCTAAAACAATAAATTTTTCTTCTTTGGCTTTTTAGGAATAGAAGTGGGAGTGAGTGTAGGAATGAGAGTGGGAGTTAGAGTAGGAGTGACATGAGGTGGGAGGGTTGCGGCAAAATAGCACTTACAACAAGATAGATTGGCTGCCTTAAATGCGCCCTTACAAAAATAATAAACAAACAAGTTACTATTCCACGCGGACGATGTCGCGGGCACAGCTCGTATGAAAAAAAAAACAACTTAAAAACGTCCTTGTGAAATGGAGTAAAGCACTCGGAATGTGCTTCAGCACCCAAGAGGAGAGAAGCGCCGGCTTACAGTGTCCTTCCCCGGGGTGAAGGGGGACCAACAACTAAAAAACTAAACTTAATTAATTTTTTTTTTTTTTTTGTGAAAATCTAAACTTTTAAAGTGAATAAACTTAAAATAATATAATTTACTTAAAAATAAAGTAATGTAATTTAAATTAAATAAACGGCTTTAGGTCGTGGGTGCGAATCTCGGTTGGACGAAAAATAGCTCCGGTCAGGAGGGAATATAACAATATTATGTACATTAGAGTACGGGACTGTAATAGGAAAATTAAAGTTAATTGGAAAAATTGAATAACTGCAATATTCTGTTCTTCTACCAAACGAAAGTCGAGGTAGACACCTGATCAAGTGAATTAATATAATAAGAGAAAATTGACAATTATCTTCGTCTTCAAACTATAACATTATACGAAACATTAGAATTCCACACTTTTATTGCTTAAAACTCGAAATTTTGTACGTATCAACCGGATGTGTAACTTAAGTAATATATTTCGCTATTTAAACCGTTAAAAGCGTTGTCTACTTAAATGCGTAAACTACAATACTTGAAAAACCCATGTTTATTGATTTTAAATTAATTAATAAATATTTTATAACCCGCCGCGGTCGAGTCTTTATTTTTTTATGTATACGTCAAGTGTATAGGCTCTTTTATGTACAGATACAATGAGAGTGGCTCTGTGTTTGATCTCATTTATGTATTTTGGCCGAATTATGAAAGTATACGTATTTTGTACAGAGTTAAGAAGTTATAGAGGAGAATATACATACAAAAATTAAAATAATCTTATGTAAATAATAATAAGTATCTTAAAGGAAGAATTTAACATGATATTTAAATTAAACTAAATATATAAAAAAAACTAACCAAAATTATACTACAATAAAATAGAAATATATAACCATTTTACCAACATTAAATAAAATACATATATGCAAAAAAATAGTGACAGAATTGATTTTATATTTCTCTCACTTTAAACAGTTTAAAACGTGAAATAAATGAATATTTTCGAGCATTTCACTTTTACCTAGTCTCATCTGTACGTCGGTCTGATTATTGATAATCTCAAAAAGACTGCACGGACTTTCCCGACTTTCACCAATGCGTTGAGCTTAAAAAAACATCCGCAAAAGTCAAATTCATACTAGCGGTAAATGATAGATAATGATATGTCATCCCTGTTGCTATGTGCCATGTAATAAAAAAAATAATTCCTAGAAGGTTCTAACAAAAATAACCTTTTAGCTTTTAGTTCAGTATAGACTATAATTTCATTTCCACTTTCTCTTTCTTGTATTTTTCAAACAAATGTATCGATATAGATACTCCAGTTGTCTATTGTTATAAGATCTGTGACAAATCCGTTCTACTTGTTCAGTGGTCGGGTGCATCTCGTTATCTCACATTACCTAACCGTTCTCGCATGTATCCACAAAAACTGTGAACTTCGACAATATTTTTTCATCTTGAATATGTGCGTGATTTTTGGATATTGTATGACACTTTTATTCCTAAGCCTAATTATAATCAATATTGAATTGTTGCTCAGAGCAACAGCACAACGTTGACGATGCCGGTTCAAGTCCTACCCGAGTCGAAAATTTTTTCAATTTATTTTCGATTTTTAAATTATATAGTGCCTTCATGTGCAATAACATGTGAAAAATATTAATGTTTTCAAATATTGAATAACTTTTTACTCTATAATATTTAATAAAAATAATAAGTTCAATGTGTTATGTTGTAAGCCTTATGTCAAAGACGGTACATAAATACTGTCTAAGTTTACGCGAGTAGTACATATTTAAATAAAACACTTAAACGGTTTAAAATGCGATATATATAGTTTAACTAATATATCATCAACGGTTACATAAATTCATTTTTTTTGTCTGATTGTAAATATGTAGTGTGATGACGTCCCGTTTCGGTCATTAGTATATGTGGCAAATATAGTTTTGTGGTTTTTTTCTCTGATTATATGTATAGGTGTTTATTTAGTTATTAATCACACTTTTGTGCCCTGTAAGACCGAAACAAGTTTATCAATTGAAACCCAGGAACTGTAGAGCTTAACTCAATGCAAAACAAACCATAAAGGCAAACAAACACGGTAAAATGTAGGTTTTTTATAACAAAAAATCAAAAAATTACCAGGTCTACACTTAGCGTGGTTCTAAAGCTAACAAAACAAGTGCGACTTCATAACAGTGCCTATATAAAAACTGTTGAGCTCAAAATTTAATAAGATATTTTTTTGCATTCCTCTAGTCAAGTACATCCTTATCTCAAAATGAAATTGGTCAGTAAATTAAAGTAATATATTGTTTAATTCTAATACTTGTAGTTCAGCGTGTAAAAGCAACTTTAAAATATAAATTAAACTTATTTGAAAATATTTTAACTACGGCGCGACGTTTCGGATGTTATGCAGCAGCCGTGGTCACCAGGAAAAGACCAGTGAAACGTCGGACCGTAGTTAAAATATTTTTCCAATGGCTTATATATATAAACGCGATTTAAACCGTTAAAGTGCTTTATTTAAATGTGTACTACGCGCAAACTAAACTACAAACGGTATTTAACAAGGTGTTTTGGGAAATTAAATGTTAAAGTGTCTGATTAAAAAAAACATTTTTAACGGTTTTAAACCCAAGTTGCTTTAGTTACTGAATTGATATTTTAATCGCGATGTTTCCATTACAGTTCACCTCCATAACAGCTATCATTGCTGCTTCCGCCGCGACAGCAAGCCAAGTTTACCAACCAGATCAGTACAATGGAGAAATCTACCAATCACAGGCCGCTTTGGAACATCATGGCGTTTATTCTGACCAATCGCAGCTCGGCCATATATACCAGAGGCCAGCAGGAGAGAGTACTGCACGGATTTTAGGTTACAATTCAGAAAACAATGGACACGCCTATCATTATGCATATGAAACAGAAAACGGTAAGTTTTTAAGACCGATAAAAATAATTTTTCCGGACTTTTAATAACTCAGTCATGTAGTTTAAGTTTGATTGTGGGTGGAATGGAATAAGCTATTTTGGAAGAAAATTGATTTTGTTTAGTTAAATGCTCTCTGTAGTTTACGCGAGTATATACATTTGAGTAAAACAGTTTAACGGTTTAAAACGCAAAATATATAAGCTAACATTTGTACACATTGCATCGTATTGTACAACTACAGCCCGACATTTCGGATGCTTTGCGGAAACTTTGGTCACTGGGGGCTCCGTAAATAAGCTAACTTTTATGTTTCGCGTTTTAAATCGTTAAAAGTGTTTTAGTTAAATGTGTTGTACTCGCGTAAAGTACGGACTCTCAGCACTCTACAAAATTTTACAAGTGCTATTTGTTTCAATGCTGTATAGTTTTTTTAATAAAATAAAACCATGATCATTGTATGTGAAATGTAACATTATTTCATTCTTAACATTTAATGATTTCAGGTATCAAAGCTCAAGAAGCCGGCCAAGTAACCAAGGGAACTCAGGCAGAAGGTGCTTTTTCATACACCGGCGATGACGGACAGACATACACAGTGACGTACACTGCTGATGAACATGGCTTCAGACCCCAAGGAGCCCATTTACCTACACCACCCCCCATTCCTGAAGCTATCTTGAAATCCTTGGAACAGAACGCCAAGGAAGAGGCTAGCGGTATTATTGATGATGGTAAGTAAAGGTTTCCGATATCTTACTTACTCCGGCTAATAATCAAAGGGGTTCGATCCCCGCCGGGTCTATATATATCATTTTATTAATAAAAAGTTTGTAATCAATATATATTTTTTTTGAGACATGTTGGACTTTTAAATAAAACACTTTAACGGTTTAAAACGCGTTATATTAGTTAAACTGATTTGAAAATGATTTTTAACTTCGACCCGACGTTTCGACGACTTTTGGACTTTGTCTGGAGGTTTTAAATATATATGAAACAGCCGTCAAATTTACTCACTAATTCCTTTAATGGTAGGGGAATTCCCCTAGCTATATAGCAACTGAACAAGCGCTGTCGACCAATTTTGTTTTTTGGATATTCGGAAAACTACAAAATAAAACCGAAACACGATTAACGCGTTTTTTTCATTTCTGGACGGTGGATTGCGAGCCGGACGGAATTTAATATGTCTACCATCTATTTAATATATAGATTACCAGACGAATCTCAATAGTTAAAAAATAATAAATTAATAAGAATAATGTTGAGTCTTAACCATACATTGCTACCATCAATAAGCCAGACAAAATAATCTCCCACTCTCCTAAACTGATTAAATAGTGTGAGAGTTGATGAAGAAGAAATTTTCTTATTTCGATTTAATAAAGACTTTCGTTAAATCAGATTTTTAATTAAAATGAGGCATCAGTTAAATGTTAGTATTAAAGCCATCTAATTCGTAGGAAGCAAATACATTACACCAAAACCAATTTGTAATCGTGTAGAACCTTGATGAAGACACTTATAGCCCACGATCTAATGTTTTACGGGTGAATTCCTTTAATGTTTATTGTTTTAGATATAAAATTTTAAAGTTATTCACCCAAAGAATTGCTTAAAAACAGATTTACAGTTAATATTGTCTGTAGTTTACGCGAGTAGTACAAACTTTAATAAAATGCTTTAACGGTTTAAAACGCAGAATACATTAGTTAAACTTATTTTAACTACGGCCCGATATTTCGGATGTTTTATAGCATTCTGTAGCACGGGGAGACTCCCGTAATTTTTACTTTTCCGTGTCTCTTTTGGACTATATAATCGACATAACAAAAAATCGATTTTAAGATTTAAAAAATTTCGACGCGTGCGCGTTTGAACCGGTATCCACAGCGTTCGGTGCTGTTGATTTAACCAATGGAGCAAATTTAAAACCCGCGGAATACCTATTTATTTTATTGTGTATCTATTAGACAAATTATTTTTGTGTTGGTTAGGCCATTTATCGGTGAAGGCTTTAGGCTATAAAACTTAATAATATAATTGTAATTTTCAGGTCACTACCGCGAAAACACTGGTCACTTGGAGCACGCTGGAAATCAAGGATACTACGAGGGATACCAGCAAGATGGACATGCGCAGGCGCAGCTTAATAACGGATACCACAATTAAATAAAGTTATCAATTCAGCTTCAATTTCACTGTAAAATTACTTGCAGGCAGAAGTTTTCGTCGAAAATTTTCAGCTATTAGTTTCCGGTGAAGTTGGTGTAAATGTTTTTCCAGTATTATGTTGTTAATAAAAAAAAAATCTTGAATACTTGTTTTTTATTATGTACGAAGACAGACAAGTATAGGGCTTTTTTCCTATATTGGCATTAAACTTTCGGAAACGAACAGACTGTAGCCGAAACGCGATTACACTTTCGCGATTACAATGAAGTTTCGATAGTCATACTCCTAAACTCCAAATTTTTCCGCCGACGCGTCCGCGTAGAATAGTTATTGTGGGCATGACAATTTGCCTCTGCAAACCACCACGTCATCTTTATAGATTAATACTATTGCCCATGACGGCAGTCGCGTCCCGTCGTTCTTGCAACTTAATCTTAAAGTAGACATTTAGTATTGCTGACTTTTTTTTAGATAATTTGAAAAGGGATTCATTCTGTCGTACATGTTTTTTGGGTATCTTTAACAGTTTTCGCAGCGTACGCAACGGATACCCACAAAGATGAATATTATTTTCCGTGTTCCTCCACATTTCCCGTTGTTTCTTTGCTTCTATAAGTCGCAGCATGATGTTTATAGCCTACAGACTTCCTCGATAACTGTTCTAACCTACATAAAAATAATTTTTCAAATTCCGCCAATAGTTCTTGAGAATTGGACGTTCAAACAAACTATTCAGTTTTCTATACATATAAGGATAGGTTATAAGACAGAGTTTTTATTAAATACTGTCTATAGTTTACGCGAGTAGTACACATTTGAATAAAACACTTTCACGGTTTAAAACGCGATATATTAGTTAAACTTATTTGGAAATGATTTTTAACTTCGGCCCGACGTTTCGGATGCTTTGCAGCAGCCGTGGTCTCCCCGTGACCACGGCTGCTGCAAAGCATCCGAAACGTCGGGCCGAAGTTAAAAATCATTTCCAATTAAGTTTAACTAATATATTGAGCTTAAAACCGTTACAGTGTTTAATTTAATGGTTATTATTATCATATACATTTAAATTATGATATGCGGAATTCAAAACTGCAGATTTATCGATAATATTGATCTCTTAGGTAAACGCCAACAAAGGCACTGATTACGAATCTATCTTCCCACTTGTTCCATTGTAATGGATATTATTCGACATTCCAAAGCGTCTTCACTCTCGATATGGAATGTTCCACTTAGTGCCGCTTAGTTGCACTTTAACAGTGTGAAATATATGTCCGCATGATCGGCACACAATAACACAAATTTAGCACAATGCGGCACAACCGTTCAATAAAAAACAAAAAGCAGTGCTAGAAATGTAGAAAAAAATCCTTAGTTTTACATTTTAATATTTTATATATTTAAATGTCTTAGAGATTTTAACTTAGCGTGAAACATTGGGTTTTTGTTTGTCACCTTAACAATGTTCCACTGCACGCTTTGGTGCTTTCCTATAAGGTTTTAAAAATCCACCACGCTACTCCAGAGTGCGTTAACGGGTTTTTACGACTGCCGCGACTCAACAACTACAACCGACGGCATAACGGCCTAACTTCCAAATTCTGATATATAAGTAAAATCTAAAATATTTTGCTCGTGGTCTGCTGTCTGTAGAGTATGGGGTTCAATCAAGATGCGATATATCTATTCTGGCTTTGGATATCCAGAAATCCACAGACTGTAACCGAAGCGCGATTAAACTTGACTTTTTTATCCGTGGACGATTGTACGTGAGCTGGATGACGGATGGATCCAGATTTCCAGAGGAAGTCCAACATGTTTCAGAGATATTATAAATTGACAAATTAGAAATCCATGACCCTATATAATTTAAAAATCGATAATACATTGGAAAATGTTCGACTCGGGCAGGGCTTGAACCGGGATTAGCCGTTCATGCTACCGATGCACCGACGTCAAGATAAAAAATGATTTAAATAGCCTCTTTCTCAAAACAAAGCGTATTGTATTTTCCTAACTTAGGAAAATACGATACTGAATTAGCGGTAGTATAAATAAGAGATAGTAGGAATTAAACTTTGCGTACAGACTCAAGGGCAGACTTTAGAATCGAGAGGATACACCGCAAGAACACACACGCATTTGATATTAGTCACTTTGGTTTTTATGTCCTCAAATTTTATGAGCCCAACGTATTACGGGCTCATCAAAGAATGAAATTTAGAAATTCTGTTAGAATAATTAAATAAATAATATATTACTTCAACCAGGATTCGAACACGTTACCTCGTGATGTAGAATGTATTTACTTTGCATAACATTACATTTATAACATATATTTACAATTTGTAAGATTACATTAGATTATATGACTAAAACTTAAATAGTGTCTATAGTTTACGCGAGTAGTACACATTTAAATAAATGACTTTAACGGTTTAAAACGCGATATATTAGTCAAAGTTATTGAAAATAATTTTTAACTTCGTATAATGCGTATTAAACTGTACAAAGTGTTTTATTTAGAAATGCATATAAATTAAGTTTATAATGGCTTGGTGGGGAAAACAAAATGATACTTATAGCACAATAAACTAATTTACTATACATCATAAGTACATAGGCTTTTTTCATTCTCTCCTTGACACAAGACATCGTTAGTATAAGTTATATTAGCTAAGACATGATTTAGCATAAATTGTGAATTGAGTTTTGATTTTAATTATTTTTTGTATTCGTAATGTGACAGAAAATTAATCTTCCATTTGTCAAAACAAGGATTATTCATAACTCTCATCTATACTAATATGTGAAGCTGAAGAGTTTGTTTGTTTGTTTGATCGCGCTAATCTCAGGAACTGCTTTTTCATTTCGAACCAGTAGTAAGTAAATCGAATTCGTTTTGTGTTGGTTAGAACACATATCTCGAGAAAGCCAAAAAAATTGCTCTATGATGGAACGGAACGATGAAATATAGAATAAACGGGGAAAATTCTACTTTGTGGGTTTCCGATGCCTACGCTACGAAAACGTTTCAAGATAACCAAAAATATGTTACACAGAATTGTTCCTCTTTAAAAATCTAAAATGATATTTGCGACACTATATATATATCTTATATATTAATTAATTATAATAATATATTATATAAATCTATTAATGATATGATATATATATATATAGGACGACAGGACTAAATTGATAAACATACAGAGGAGGTTTGTATAAAATAACTATTCTACGTGGACGACGTGGGTGACACAGCTAGTAACATAAAAACTCAATGAAAATGAATTAGTTCATGTTGTAAGACCGTGACCTTAGCTAATAAGAAATATAATGAGAAACATTTATAAATTCCGTAATATATAAAAAAGAATCAAGTGCAAGACGAATTCGCATACAAAGGTTCCGTATGATTAGAAAAATCAAGTCGTCACACTAATTTTATATTGTAATCTATTTTGAACTTGTTGATAGAAAGGCAACAAAACTACCTGAATTGAGTTTTGTCTGTAGTTTTCGCAAGAAGAAAACATTCGTTTTTTATCGGTTTAAAATTAGAAATATATTAGTCAACTTATCCACTCCCGTTTAAAACTAGTTGAACAGTTTTCTGTCTCTGTAGCTCAATACCTGCTATTGCAATTAATTTATACCATCGCCCGTGATAACACGTCTTAAGTTCGATTCCAGGGGAAATCGTAAAAAAATGTCTCGTTCAGACATAGAAGGGTAATATGTTATGTCTATAAAAATAAAATCATTCAGAGTACGCATTTAAATAAAACACTTTAACGGTTTAAAACGAAATATATATTATATATGCTGTGCATTCGCTGCAATGCATTTTTAGCAACTTTAACTAATAAATATCGCGTTTAAAACCATTAAAGTATTTTATTTAAATAATACATATATTTACGTGTATATTATGAAACCATTGATGTAAAAGGCGTCAAGTGAAGGTCTGTACAGTGTCGTCCATCTTTATATGTCCGGGAGCTATAAATTACATAAAGGGATTTAAATACCGCACACATTATCATAGGCATTTGAACATCTGCGACTCTTGGAATGTTTCTCCTATTCATAATAAATATGGAATGTAATACTTAAGAATCAAATATTAACTGTAAAATAAAATACTGCGCATTTTCAAGAAAGTCTGTTTGAAAACGTACCAGTTAATAATCTTTTATATGCTCATTGGTGTAAGCACAACAATGGGCTGGTTGATCCGTAAATTCCCCTAAATATTTAGAATTACGTCTGAAAATCTAAATATTAAGGGGATGGTAGAAATATCAAAATCCACGAACCACCATCACAAAAAAAAGCTGCGTTATTGACGTTTGGATTTCAGTCTGTGGATTACCGAGTATCCAAACCAAAAATAAGTCGACAGAACATTACATGGCTGGGTTATAACCACCATTAACTACCTCCACCATAAAAAATGTAGAAGTTGAAACAAACACGGATATATTTCCGTTTTATGTAAGTATGCATATTTTAAAAGCTCAAAGTCTCTAGTAGGTAATAGAAAAATGACCATCCGAAAGATATAGATATCTTCAGATAATACAGAGGTAAATTTAAGCTATTACATTACTAGCTTAATAGCTTGAACTTTGTTAGCTATTATTACAATGACCTTAAAATCATCAGCATATTATCGACGAACAGACAACAAATAAATACATATAGAAGTCTCGAATGACTGAGTGATGCAGATTTTGCCGCTGTTTGTTTAGATCTATGTAAATGCGGAGGGATGTTTGTACCTCGTTTATCCTGTAACTGGGGAATTAAATTTTTCAATTAGATTATTAAATGACATACAATCTGCTTGAACTCTGTTTTAACTAGAAAAGTGTTAAGTAGGGTAAAGCGGACATGTTTCAAAGATCAATTTTATTCACAGGCAATCAATTAAATAGACTTCTGCCCTGCTTGGCTGAAAGAATTTATCGATATTTGAACCTAGGACCTTTTGTTGCAAGCTTAGAGTCACAGTTATGATATAACAGAAGTAACGCCGCGTTGCGCCTCTACTCTGTGAATATTATCTTATCGTAACATCCGACCTTCACTTCAAAACAATGCAAAGATCATGTCCACGACTGTAGTATTTTTTATGTTTAGAACAGGCTCCTTGGTATATCAATCGCTTTAGATTTTTTGTTCTTGGGTTCGATTTTCAAAATCGCTTCTTCTATACTGTTAAGAAATAGAGTAGATTTCTGTTTGGAAACTTACCAGTTAATATAATCTTTGACGCGCTTGTTTGAGCAATGTATATATATTAATCAACGGGTCGCGAGTTCGATTCCCACCGGGTACAACATTTTACTAATCAATTTATACTTTTTCTCAAACATCTTAGTTCGTTTTTAAAATCTGGATACTAATATTAGAAATGTTGAAATTCCGTCCAGGTCACCACCGTCAACGGATCGATTCGACTAGGAAGAGGAGTGACGGCGAGTTTCTTGCCATTTCTTCTCGTTCGTTCTACGCCCTTGATTTGAGAATGTAAATGAAAGTTAAAAAAAGAAAATTAAATATAGCGTCTTTTGTTTTTAACTGATATGATGTTCAGAAATGTAAGTTGTTACATATGTGAAGAAAAAATGTTTTTTTTTAACTTTGACTGTTAATTTTGACTACAGTCTGTGGATTTCGCAAGTCCAATACCAAGATAAGTCAACACGCACAACATCGCATCTTGTTTAAATACGCCTGGGGTATCATATATCTATCATATTTCATAATATATCCATAACAAAGCGCTTTCAAACTGTAGTCTTTTGACAAAGCAATGAGGAAATGTCGGGCCCAAACCGCCTGGTTAAGAGAGGTTATTGGTTTGTCACTTTCACTAGGTTAAATAAATATGAATAATTATTTATTTTATTACAAATTTTCATATAAAATATAAATAAAGCACTTTAAAGGTTTAAAACTCGATATATTAGTTAAGCTTATTTGAAAGTTATTTTTAACTTCCGCCCGATTCACGGGGATGTGTACTACTACGAAAGCGTAAACTATAGACAGTATTAAAATAAATATAAGTTTAAATCTTTGTTAAAAACATATTCCTGCAGGATCTAAGAGGCAATAATTATTAAAAATAAATCTTCACATTTTCACGCTTTAAATATCATAAATAAACATTTAATTCGGTTTCAAACAGAATATATATTATTTAACATATCGTCTTCAAAAAATAAAAACGTTGAGCCATAGTTAATAAAATAAATACATATAAGTTAATAATAAATAATATATTTATTTATTTAAAGAGGCTTACCCGATCTTTTAAACTAAAATTTTTCGTTTACTATTCATATAAATTATAGATAAATACGTCGTTAGTATAGCTCATACGAAGAAGAACGTTCGAATTCGAATGTTCGGAGGAATAGACATCAACGCGCTCGCGGCTTTCGATTCTTTTGTAAAACAGCGAAGGGTCCCGTACCTTTAACTAGGTTAACAATAGTAGACACAAAAACCACATCTTGTAACAATTTGTTCGTGTAAAATGCAATGTGTATAATTGTATATGCAAAATTTTATGTTATAAATTAGCTCTTATATATTGTGAATATTTCTACTTTTTAAGAGATTAGCAAAAATAACTACGGTCTGCAAAAGTCTGATTATCAGGGTCCTGTTTTGTACGGAACCCAATAAAAAAAGACTGATACAATGATATATGTTATTGATATGCAACCATCGATATACCAATAAACGCTTGTAATCTTCTAGCTTATGGCCTTCAGGCGAATTGCACTAATATATACTAATATTATAAAGCTAAACAGTTTGTTTGTTTGTTTGAGCGCGCTAATCTCAGGAAAAATTATATTAAATTTAAAAAGTTTAAATTGGATATATATTTATAATTATATGGTATAAAACATTATGTCGCGGCTATCAGGAACGATGAAACAATGGGAAATATGAAAAAAGACTGGGAATTTTTTTTAAATCGATCTTTATTGATTTCCTTGTTGAAACGTACGCAACGAACACCCTATAAGATGAATTATCCCCCATTTTACACTCCCCACTGTTTCTTTGCTCCTATTATTTACGTTATAGTTTAAAACCTTCCTCAATACACTAACCAACACAAAAATAATTTTTAAATTCGAACCATTACTTCCTAAGATTCAAAGAAACAAACTTTATCTATAATATTAGTATAAAGTCTTAAGAAATAATCTTAATAATACGACTCAGTTAAGTCTATAGACGCATACTTGGAACTGGAGTCGAAAACCGCCTTAGGTGACGATTACAATAGTTTAAATAAATCTCGGGTCACTCGAAACCGTTTCGACAGAATCTGACCCCTTGAGGTCGCGGTTTTTGTAACACAATAGTATTTACGATCTGATTTAATGAGATTTATACCGTTTTAGGCTTTGGTTTGTGTTGACAGTTATTAGTTAATTATACTCAGTCTTCGAGGCCGTTTAATATTTATTCGTTTTAAATGTTTTTGCAAGAAAATTTCATATAGTTTTATATCATTTTAATATTATTATTACACTCTTAAATTATTTAATTCTATTGAAGTTCTAAGTAATTAGAATCCGCGCGATCGTTAGTAAAATGGACACTGTAGGTTAATAATCAACGGGCTGCAGGTTCGATCCCCACCGGGTGCAAAACAATTCTATATAATTATAATATCATTTAATTGGAATAAGTGGGTCCGTTGGGGTATTCATAGCAGTTAATAATCGACCCGTCGATACCCACCAGGTCCAATATGGTTCTTATTAATTTATATTTTTTCAGAAAACATGTTGGACTTCTAAAAATCTTGATATTAGATAAGTAGTATTGAAATTCCGTCCGGGTCACGAACCTTCGACCACAGATAATAAAGTCGTAAATTGAACCGGGACAGTCTGCGGAATTTCCGAATATCCAAAGACTATGGATGGGGTATATCTCCTTGGCTTGTCGGTCTTCCTTCATCATAAAAAAAATATATTGCAGGAACCAAATGTTAGATAGATAATAAAATAAATTAAACACGATCTTTGTCTACTCGCCCTACGTTATAAAAAACGGAATTTAAAATAGAAAAATATTCTAGTAGAATCTTATAAGTCTAGTAGAACTAGACTCTGAGACAGAGTAGCCTAAGTGCAATTTTCTGATTATTTTTAACTATTTTACAATATTAAATTATTTATTTTATTTTCCTTTTGAAAATCTTGTTTTTTTTTATTAGGCCACTCTGGTTCTGGCAGTCTCATACAGGATCTATAAGAAGATATAGAATTTCACAGGTGAATGGAAAAGCTCTGACATTGAACTTTGTTACGAAACGATTACTATGACAGCACCTGCCCTTTCTAGACGTATTAATATTCATCACTTTGTAACAAAATGTTGAATAGCCTAATTCATCACATTAAAAGTTATTTAGGCTTGAAATTAAATTAAATTAGAACTTTTAGATTTAACACTTCTGACGGTTTGAAACGCGCATATTTTATATCAACTACGACTCTATGTTTCGGATGTTTCGGAGTAGTCACGGGGGGACTGAAGGTAGGGTGTCCCTAATGTCAAAATCAAATCTGTTACGCTAGCGCCATCTGGTCCGTAGTGGTTGGTACTTGGAAAAACTGTCTGGGTCGTTTAAGTTGTAAGACGTTAAAAGTGTCTTGTTTAAATAGATATTAGCTTGGTTAACGTTGTACATATCGTTAGTTTACGCGAGTAGTTCACATTTAAAAAAAAATTTTTAAGGGTTAAAAAAGGTTTTTTTTTTTCAAATTTTTTGGGAATGGTTTTTTCCCCCCCCCCCGGGTTTGGGGGGGGGGGGGGGGGGGGGGGGGGAAAAAAATTTTTAAAATTTTTTTTTTTTTTTTTTTTTTTTTTTTTTTTTTTTTTTTTTTTTTTTTTTTTTTTTTTTTACATAAATTATATAAAGTTATTTTTCAGATTATGCTTGTATTATGTATTTACTTGGTAAGGCTCTTTAAAATAAATGAAATAAAGAAACTATAGACAATAGTGAATTAAAACGTTTTTCACCAATTATATCTATTCTAAGTGCAGACTCGATATAAAACTTTTTAATTATTTAATTTTAAATTTTAACTGGAAGGTATGTCATTATTATCTACTGATTAGGTATAATAAAATAAATACAAACTTCGTAACTAAAAGAAATAAAAAATTAATGTTGATATACTAGGTAAATATATTTTTTTACTAATATGTAAAATATCATATTATATATAATAATAAAAATAACATATTACTAATAAATACAAAATCAGCGAAATCCCGTTTGAGGATGGGGCATGGGACTCCGTCTTTTTCAGTGATCGATTATATTTCCAGGCAACTAGTTAATTAGATCTCTGTGTCATTTTGACCGACCGCCAGGCAGGCCATGTTTAACAATTGACATATGGTGTCTGTGTTAGGACATTTTAAAGCTCAGTTCTTAACGCAATGAATAAGAATTAATAATCGTAACGCTTGTCTCTCAAATATTAATTTCAAACTGTCTTCTAATTCAAGGCTCGCAACATATAATTACATTGTCTGTGATAGCTAACACCGAAAAAAAAAACTTACGCAAAACTGTCTAAAGTTCAGTTATTTATTGGGAAAAGCTGTATCACTATAGTGTATAGTCTCGTATGAATTTTGTAACGATTCGTATGTATAAATACAAGAGGACGCCGAACAACACATCATTCGTGTTTCAACTCCGACCTAGCTCCATCCAACATGCAAGTGGTAAGCCTATATCTTATTTAATATATCAACAGCCATGTTTAATGGTAGCAAATATATCTATTCAAGGGGTCATTAGTTCGATTCTCACTGTGTCCAACAAGTGTCTAATCATTTAAATACTTTAAACGGTTTAAAACGTGCAATATTCAAGTTAACTTATTTACCCTTTGTTAAATTATGGATCGATATTTCGATCGTTTTAAACCGTTAAAAGTGTATTTTTGTTTAAATTCAAGCTTTATACTAAAGCTAATAATTTTATAATATTTCTGAAACATGTTCGACTTTGACGGGTAATCTGGATATTAATTAGATGGTAGAAATATTGGAATCTCCCGGGCTATGAACCACCGTCCACAGATGGAAGTGTAATCACATGCTCATCTGCCAAAAAAATATTTATAGGGATTAATGATTTTTAAACACATTTTTTTACGTAATTTAAACAGTGGCATAAAGCAAATAACCCACCTTTAACAGTTTAAAACGCGATGTATTAGTTAACTTATTTACAATTTATTTTCAACGACGTGGTAAATACGTTCAGTAATATTTTTCGCGTTTTAAGCGGTTAAAAATGTTATTTTAACTATTCGTGTAAAGTACATTCATTGCTTGATGGCATAATAGTTTGTGGGTGTGGTTTAGAGGTTATTCTTAAGTTAGTATTGTCATTTTCAAATTCCATTAATTGATTATTTAAACATTGTTATTCTCTTATAAATAATTATGTCCTTAGTATGTCCGAAACAAACAGACACAAAACACCGTCCGTTGTTATTCTAAGAATTGAATCATAAAAATAATGTAACTCACTTTATTACTGAAGCTTATTGGAGTTTAAAATAAAACAGTATAAAATCGTGTTACTTTTCATGTTAATTATGACTCTGTGTATTAATATGGTTAAAAATATTAATTCAATTTAAATAAAACACTTTAACGGTTTAAAATGCGATATATTACTTTAACTTACTGGAAAATTATTTTAAAAATAAACTTAAAAATCATTTCTAAATTAGTTTAACTAATATATCGCGTTTTAAACCGTTAAAGTGTTTTATTTAAATGTGTACTACTCGCGTAAACTATAGACAATACAATAATTTACTTAACATAATTCTTTCAAACAAATCCGTTTTGTTTCATTTCTGTCTTTGATAACCAAGGCTTTGAATATCTTTGTTAATATCGAATGAATAGATACTATCATAGTTTTAATATTTTGTAATTTACTTTAATACTATAGTAAAAGAAACATTACATAATATTATCACAAGATCCACATAAAGTACATTTTCTATATCACTATCTTGTTGTAGCTCATCATCGCCTCCATCATCGGCTTTGCCGCAGCAGCCTTATTACCCAATTATGAGTCAAACAGAGCTCAGGCTGGCTTCGAGAAGAACGCCCGAATCATCGCCCTGGACTCGGACATAAAGGAAGACGGATCTTACAGATGGAGCTACGAAACTGAGAACGGCATTAAAGCTGAGGAGCAAGGACGTGAAGTAAGTAGATCTAATGTTATACAATTAAATAAAACACTTTAACGGTTTAAAACGCGATATATATATTAGTTAAACTTGTTTGGAGATTATTTTAACTACGGCCCGACGTTTCAGTTGCTTTCGTGGTCCGTGGTAATGTTCTAATAAATTTAACTAATTGGTATCGTGTTTTAAACCGTTAAATGTGTACTACTTACGCAAATTACAGACAACATGATGATATACAAGTCATATTAAAAATAGATTTTTAATTCAAAAATTTTACGGCACGGACAGGACTTACATACATACATAGTGTTCCGTGCTGTTGATTCTGCGTCTAATTGTGTGGATGCCGGTTCAGGTTATGCCCGAGTTGTAAAAGTCGTTCAATTTAAAATCTTTTTGTAATTTATATAACGCCGTCATGTAAAATGACGCGGGGAAAATGTAAAAGTTTTCAAACAATACAAGTCACGTTATATTTTGTGGTTCTGGTCTAATACGATCTCATGTCTGTGCTCGTTACACTGATCAAATTTTATTTACAGACAAGTAGACTTCTGTGACCAAAACGAGTGTTTTACGAGAATTCGAACCTAGGAGCTTTCGTACGCGTTTGACCGCTGGTCTACGGAATCGGTCATAACCTAAGTCATTTCATATAACAGCATTTTGAACTTGGGTTCTTTCTGAGCTAATTTTTGTACAGCGACATTAAAAAATTGAAAATTGAAATTAGTAAAAAAATTATGATAGACTAACGAAACGAGCACGATAGTAAAAGTATTGTTAATGTCATGCGAAACAAATTTAACGGTCTAACTCGAATTCACGCGATGTTCGCAATTTAGCCCGTCAAAAGAGGATTTAATGTATAACCGACTAATAATTAAATATTTAAAGCTATCTATTTCATTAAGTTTGCGACCACCTCTATAGCCAAATAGTTAAACGCATTGCGTAAAGCGCAAGAGGGCCTGGGTTCAAATCCCAGGAAGACAAAAAATTGTTTCGGTCGGGCAGGGCACAGAAGTCTAATCCACTACTTGCCTGTTAAGGAACGGATCAATGAAACGAACACAAAAATGTGTTCGCCCCATGCCCCACGAGAGGGAAACGGGATTTCCCACACATTTAGTTTGAATTTTGTGTTTCAGTAATTCATTCGTATTGTTCAATTATTGAGAACACATAAATTTTAAATGCAAGATAATAAACATAAATATTGTTATAAAGTCTTTACTAACATTACAGTCGTTAATTAAACCAAAAGCCGTTTGCACATCTGGAATTCTCTAACTGATATGAAATATTAAATTATCTTAGATGTTTCTTTGCGAAAATTTTTCACATTTTCAAGATATATTTATTCTATTTAAAAGGCTAATATTAGAGTTGTAGCACATGGCAAACATGGCTTGTTACGGAAATATTTTTAACGACGATACATATCGAGGGTAGCAATTTAGAATTTGACATTACGGACATCCTTCTTATTAAGTCTGCTGTAAATTTAAAATAACCAATATACAAAGATTATAGATAAACTACACACAGGTATTGATATTTTTGTTATTTCCCAGCGCCAACTAAGTTAATGCGCCGGCGCCGAAAAATTACAACTTACGCGTATATTTAAACTAGAGGTGCCTGCGACTTCGCCCGCATATAATAGTTATTTTGGGCATCCTCAACTTTATACATTATAGCTTGTTACCATCGACCGCGTCCCCGCGTTAATCTTAAAGCCTTTTGTTTTTTAAGCCGTTTTAGCATCCTTTCTCAGTAAATGTTCTAATCAACAGAAGTAGTTTCCGAATCTATTAGCGCGTTCAAAGAAACAAACTCTTCAGCTATATAATATTAGTATAGATATGGATTAATCCCGCTGTGATCGGATGTAAAACATCAGTATATCGAACGTGCAAAAAGAGGTAATTGAGAGCTTGACTTTTGAAGAATGGGGTTGACTCAGGGTTCACATTAGAAAGACCTAGAACCGCTACTCTAGCAAGGGCGAACGCATTTTCCATAATCTAGACATAGGCAATCTGCAAAGGTCAGTGACCACATTGCGACCTATACAAAATGTCGGTTTGCACAACCTTAGCATTTCGTGATGTATTGTAACACTAGGGACATCGATTAAGTATAATTTATTTTAAATTATGCCGAGTTATATTTAGTGTCGTCATTTTATTGGAAATGTTTCGAGCGTTTGTAATTAATTATTTTTCGAAGGCTGTTTGGTCTACCGTTTGTTTTACTTCTGTGTGAGGGTCATTGACATCTAAATTAAAAATCGATTATAGATTTAAAAAGATTCATTAGGGGCAGAACTTGAATCCACAACGAACGAAAGAGCTACTGCGTCCTTCTTTGACATATCCCAAATCCCTCATAAACAGCCCGAAGCTATATAAACTTGAAATTGGAAAAGTGCGATTCGAAGCCCCCTTCCCCTTTTTAACCATTACCTGCCACTCTTCTCCCTTGGTATTTCTTGAACATTTCCATATGATGATAATTGGGTTCTCCTATGTTGATATGAAAAGGCGGAATCGTCGTACATTAAAAAAACCCAAAAAGGAGAAAAGGAGGACATAATTAAAGTAACGAATTTCAAATTAGAAAGCTATTAAAAAACAGGGCTCAAGAAAAATTAGCAAATCTTTTTTCTATTTTTTCGTTGATCTTCGTTATTGCTCAACCTCAAAGATAAAATTGGGTTCGGTCGCACTATTGTAATCTAAGTATCAAGTTGGTAAATTCTCGCAATAAATCATAATAGGTTTTTGTCCCAAGGATGTAAAGCTAAGATTGTGCACACTTCACAGTTGCTATACTAATGCGATGTTACACGTATATCAATGTAAAAACTCTTACCCTATTTAAGTTTTAGTTTTTAGTATTGTCCTTAAACATTTTAAAACTATGTATGCATGCATGATACATAGTTTTAAAATGTGGGGGTATACTCGTAGTATGTTTGTTTGTCTTCATCTGTCATAAGTCAGTTTTTGTATATATCTAACAAAATGTTTATTTGTTACGATTCCTTATTAGGATATTAGTAGTGTTAAACTTTGAATTCACTTTAATTAACGTTTGATTTTAAATGAAACCACTTCGTTACGTAACACGTCAAGTTATTTCTTTATCTGTCATCTTAAAGGCACACTGTTTTAGGCTTCTTCGCGATTATAATACAACTTGGTGATTAGAAATCATATTTACAATATTCATATTGAAAAAATAACATCGAGATTACTTGGGTTTTACGAGCTATTCCAACCTTTTTAATAAAATACTTTAACGGCTTAAAACGCGATAAATATTTGTTAAACTTGTTTGAAATTTTTAACTAAAAGTATATAAATTGACTTGCAGTGGATAACAATCGTAATCAAACGAAGTAATGCGATATAATCGTGAGAACATTAGGATCTTTACATTTTCATTGATGGAGGCAATTTGCGTGTATCATTTTTAGAGTTCCGTACCCAAAGTGATTAAAAGAACCCTATTTCTTAAACTGACCGCGTCTGTAGCCAAATGGTTAAGCGTATTGCCTAGCATTGCGTTAAGCGTGAGGTTCCGGGTCCCGAATGCCACAACAAATTGTTTCGGTCGGGCAGGGCACAAAAGTCTGATCGACGCCTTGTTAAAGAATGGATCAGTGAAATGGACACGGAAATTTGTTCGCCCCAGGCCCCACGGGGGAAATTTTTTTTAATCATGTTATACTAAAAGTACATTATAAGTCTTTGAATTTTTTTCTCGATATTAGAAAAAAATTATAAAGACTACAAAATAGATACAAGGAAAAATACTACAATTAGATATCTCTGTATCTAGTCAATAGTACGGAACCCAACACATGCCCGACTGCAAATAAATTGTTATTAATTAAAATCATATATTTAAACAAATGTATTACTTTGAGGTCAGTAAGAACAAGGTAATATTCTCGTAACTACGTAAATATATCATGTACTGGTGTAATAAATTTTTTTATACAAATAACTGTTATATTGATTAAATACTGTCTGTAGTTTAGTAATACATATTAAAAAAAAACAATTTTACTGGTTAAAACGTATATATATTATTTAACAATAAGTTTTACTAATATATATCACGTTTTAAACCGTCAAATTGTTTTATTTAAATCTTATATTTATTTACAGTTTTATGTAAGCCATGAAACATCATTATTATTTTGGTGTTTAAAGCTTTACAGTTTGATTTGAATGCTGCAATAAAAATCTTTTTTTTCAGGCGGATGGCATTGAAGCTCAAGGTGGTTTCCAATACACAGGTGACGATGGCCAGGTCTACTCTGTGAGCTACGCAGCCAACAAGGACGGTTTCCAGCCCCAGGGCGCTCACTTCCCAACCCCACCTCCCACTCCTGAAGCTATCTTGAAAGCCCTGGAACAGAACGCTCGTGATGAAGCCGCTGGCATCATCGATGACGGTGAGTCCAAACTTCTAACGCGTTTGACACTATGAAAGAATTATTCGTGTACTCTTGTTTTTTAACAGTAGACAGACAGAGTGCAAGCCTCGCTTCTTTATAATCTTTATCTTAAAAGATTGACATATATCATTAAAAGAGGAATCATTGTTTCATACATAATTGTTCGTCCTTGTCCTTTATAGGCGAATGTGTGATAAAGACAATGCTCTATTAACTCATTACAGTAAATAAGTAACTATATGACGCTTTTAAATAAAACGCTTTAATGGTTTAAAACGCGATATATATTAGTTACACTAAATATATATTAGTAAAACTAAAAAGCTGCTTAGAAGCATCTGAAACGTCGGGCTATAGCTAAAATCATTTTCAAATAATTTAAACTAGTCTATATCGCGTTTTAAACTGTTAGTTTTACATGTGTACTACTGGCAAAACCTACAGACGGTATGTCGCTTGCCTAATATTGACAGCTTTAGCGTAAAATAATAGCAGACCGGTTTAAAGTCGAAAGTGGTTATTGATAGTGAAATTAGATATGTTAACCTATTACGGTTACATATTTCTTAGACCAAGGCTGACCCGACCACCTGTTTCGTTTGACCTTTCACTCACATCACTTATAAATACTAACAAGCGAATTTATGTTTTATTTATACTGGATTAGAGCTTAAAATTGCATAAACGATTGACACAGATTTTTCTATCTATTTCACAAATTAGATTAAAACGAAAAGTTGTTCTATGTTTGTGTTGTTAAGGTCGAAATTTGGACACCACAATTCATAATTACAGATTATCGTTGCAAAGTTCATACAATGCATTTGAAATTCCTAATGTTTCATCTCAGTTTCGTAATTTCATATTATCGTGAGGTTGGAATGAAGATGAATAAATGAGTTTGAAATATTTCTCGGTTCTAAATGTTATCGTCGTTAGTAGGTGTACGTTTTGAATGATATAGGACAGACAAGCATGTTCGCTTGATCGTAAAAGACATACCCTAGTCCAAAAACATCTAAACAATGCGCTCTCGATCTATTTTGGCATTGAATATTCGGTAATCCACAGACTGAAATCGATAAAACATGAACGCTTTTTTATCTGTGGCGGATTTTTTTTAGTGGCTTAAGTTATTTGCTTATCTGCAAATAAGAAATCGGCGACAATCAATATTTTTACAACATCTAGAATAGTTCGCTAAAATTAGACAAACTTTGTTACATTGTCTGAACACATTTAAATAAAACACTTATAACGGTTTCAAATGCAAAATATACTAGTCAACCTATTTAAAATGTATTTTGTTAAATTAAATAATACATTTTGCGCTTCAAACCTTTTTTAATTGTTTTATTTAAAATATGTATAATATTGTTTTGTATATAATAATCGTACTTATGTATCTCTTTAATGAAATTAATTTAGCTGTTTATTAATGACTTGAATGTCCTAAATTTCCAGGTCAATACAACCCAGGCAAATACGGTGGTGCCCCAGCTGCTCCAGGTTTCCAGCAGAACTATGCGCGTGCGCAGGCCGGTTTCCGAAGACAGTTCTAAGCGAACCCTTGATAAATAGTTAAGCAAACCTCATGTACTTTTAAATAATGTGTGGTACTTTAAGTCATTCGTTCTTGCTTACTTCTTTTTTTTACTTCGTCAGCTATTGCGCTACTAAAGAATTTTCCGTGCTTTTGTTTCTTGTAAAAAAATCAATGTTTAAAAGATTTCAATAAGAGTTTGCTATATTGTAGATTCAGTTTTACTTTTGAAATATTTTTTTTTCTATTAACACTAGCTTTACATCTTTCGTTAATCCAATTTAAGTCGCCATCCATTTTTTAAATGTAAGAGGCTGTCAAAATCGTGATATAAATAAAAAAAATGTGATAGAAAATACTCTAATATTGTATAGTAGTCATTGATCCAGCGATGGAAACTTGAATTATTTATTCTATGAATAAAAATTAATTTCCTTTGTAATATGAATTTTTATTTCAACTCAAGGAATTTCCCAATCAAACCTCAGAATATCGTTCTACTAACGATTCGGGTATACAACTGATCTAATAGTCTCTAATTAAAATATATCAGTGAAACAGACACAGAAGTATGTCTGTTCAATACATTCGTTTGGATTTAACCAATATTTAAAAACCTGACATGTGTCTTAAGCTAATATAACAAAAATATACAGGTCAAAATAGTTTTTAAGAAAATAAATACAAAAAATAAATATTTTTTTCTAAGCAGCGATGGTTACAAGTTAAAAAGCAAATTCACACAAATTAAAATTTGCTAAAAAGTTTGTACAGGCGTATCTCAAATTAGAGAATCTGCAAACGTTTGTAAGAAGCCTTTAAGTTTATAAACGTTTTAATAGAATACGGATAGTTGATGAGAAATATGATAAACTTAAGACGTTTATTAGCTTCCGTGTTATAATAATTTAACAATAACACATAATAATTGTCCTTGTCTCGAAATAGAAATTTTAGTATATACACAGTGGTACCTCAGTGGTTAAAGCAGTGCCTAGCGTGGTAAAGAGCAAAAGTTCCTAGGATTGAAACTTAAAGAATCATAATGAAGCAAGTGAACATATTTCAAATTTTGCTGAAATCTGGTGAACTTCGTCTGGACATCTGGATATTATAGAGGTGGTAGGAATATCGAGATTCCATGCAGGTCACGAACTATTATCTAAACCGGTGAAGTTTAAGCGCGTTTCGAGTTCAGCCCGTCCGAATGTCCAAACCATAGGTCGACAGCGCAACTGGTTTAGATGTTATATAGCTACTTCACCTACTAGCAAGTTTTAACTGTTTTCAATAATATTCGTAAAACTATTAAAGAATCGCAATTTTACATGCCTATATAAACAAATTGGTAATGACGATGGAGCCTAAGGAGCCGACTCGAGCAATTTTCACATTGGACCATCAACTTGATAGTTATAACGGCCGTTATTGAGTCAAGGCCTCGTTTTGATTGCAGGCTTCGTTTCGTACGTCTAATGATATCATGTTACGTGTTCCCAACGTAGATAACGACATTCGTTTTATTAAATTTAGAAAACTCTTTGTTTCTAACTTGACTATGATTTTTGAAACATTTATATCTGGAAACTTATACATTTTTTTGATTATTAGTACCTATTTGTTTGTGTTTGCAAAAAGTGTTATACAACCAGAAGATTTACTGAGTATTTAGGTATTGAGTATTGGTGTAATAAAACCATTTTTACGGTTTTATGCGAGGAATATATGTAATCCAATGTTAAGAATGTACCTATGGCCTAACTTATGTTTATCGCGTTTTAAACCGTTAGATCAATGTAATAATGTCGATAGTAGATTAAAATACTGATACTTATAGTTCTGACTATATAATTTTTGATTACGTAAGTAAGTAGTTTATGTATAAGTAATTTGTACTGCGTCAGTTGATAAACTTATAAAGAAGTAAAAATCTCAGAGTAAGACTAGGATAAAGAAAAAAGATGAAACATATATATGTAACTAAAAGTTTAATAAAATTTGTTTTAACGAAGTCTATAACAGAACTTAAATAATCATTTAATAAGAGTAGCCAGATTTTGAGTTGAAATTGCCTTGTCTGCTCGTGGATCCAAAGCCGTGTTTCTGGTTCTGTCCTCTCTCCTGTCCATTTTGACCAGCACTATCCTCATGGTACTGACCTAGAAGTAAAAGAGTTAATGAAAATCTATTGGAACATTACCGCTATCAGTCAGTGATAAAAAGCCATAAGCAATGCAATAAGAAGGTTTTGAGGTTAGGTTCGAACTCCGGGAAAACCTAAAAATGTACTTCTCTCGTTTAATGCACAGGGCTGAGTGCGTACTGTGTCCATGGTATGTTTAATTGTTAAGTTAATTTTATGAAAGTTTTCACGAAATTCAAAGTGGGTTAAATTATATTAATTCATTGGTTACTAGTCTACTTAAAAAATTCCCCCTGTTTTTTCGACATTTCCCGCTGTACCTTCGCTCCTATTAGTCATAGCGATATGTTTTATAGCCTATTAGACATTCTAAAAATAAAATAAATCTCCTAACCAACACAAAAATATTTTTCCAATTCGAACCAATAATTCCAGAGCTTAGCGCGTTCAAACAAACAAAATTAGAATAGATTTTGAAATGTTGGACTTCGACGGGAAATCTGGATATTAAACGGGAGGTAGGAATGGCACAATTTCGGCCGCGTCACGAACCACCGTGCAAAAGCTATAAGATTTGATCGTATTTTTAATCAATCAATAAATCGTAGAAAAATCAAGAATTCTTCGATTTTCATGGACATAAATATTTCATTCTTATGATAAAATTACTTTAATTTTGAACATTATGTTATAAATATTAAAGTATTGTTTCAACCAACAATTCATAAATATATACCGTCATCAAAAATTCCAGCTGCCTCATCTTTAGCGTTCTGCTGCAGAGCCAGCAAAATCTCCTGAGGAGTTGGTGGTGGGACGGGAAGATGAGCGCCCTGGGGCTGAAAACCGCCCACTCCAGCAGTGAAAGTCACCGAATAAGTGTTCCCATCATCGCCCTTGTAGGAAAAACCACCTCTGCTTTGACCTGCATTACCAGCTTCTTCGGCTTGGATGCCGTTGGCAGTTTCGTAGCTGTAGTGGAATCCTGGAAATATTTATTTTACATATATATATTTTTTTTGACGTTGGTGCAATGGTTGCAATGTACAGATAAAAATGTTTATAAATTTAATTTATTAACATTTTTAGCTGTACATTGCAACATTAAAAAATAATTTTAATTTATAAAAATTTTTACCCTTCTAAGATCAACCCGCTTATTTTTTAATAGACATTTTAGGAAAATTATTTCTATGGCAAAACAACGTTTGCCGGCTCAGCTAGTAAACTAATAAAAATGTGTAATCTAGAAAGAAAAGAAAGAAAGAAAGAAAAATTTTATTTACTACTAGGGCACATAAAAACACATGTTACACTTATTACTAAACATAAAAAAAACAAAACATAATTTTGTCTTAACAGTATAACTTAATATAACAATATAGGATAATGTTGTGTGCCGCTAGTAGAATAGGATCTTCCTCAGTTTATATCAGGCCTTTTGTCGACCTGAAACTGATTTTCAGCAAGTCCCTTAGGAGTGTGGTATCAGTCGGTGCCACACTCAAGTTAAAATAAACAAAAAAAATAAAGTTGCTGTTGTACAAATAAAAACACAGTAAAATTTACAAAGAAAAAGTAAGACAAGCTGATAAATAGGAAAAAATCAATTGTTCCATTCCATCTACATAATAAGTGGTTCAGCGTTCAATATTATAGGTTTCCACTGACAGCGCCATCAACGCCGGTTTTCCCTTGTAACGATAGCAAATATTCTTTGTACCGTCTCCTTAAAGGTGGTAAGTGCTATTTTAGTCCTTAACGGGGTGTATATTGTTCCAACATTGGTGGCACTATAAGTGAAAGCCCCGTGGAAAGCAGCCGTTCCGTGGGCGGGAACGCTTAACATATACAATGACGCCCGGGTGAAGTGTGTAGTATTATAGTCACTAGCCCAATGGAGCTTTTGATATAAATAGGTAGGGATCTTATATTTAATTACACCAAAAAGGACTAATCTGGTAGCTAAAGTGTGGCTTTGGCTTATAAAACTATAAAAAAATTGAAGAAAGCGAAAATACATAGATCTTATTCGCATGCCTATAGATAAAATAGATCAGGATAATTATTTTCTACTAAATACTGGTACTGGAAGAGGACCTATGTCAAAATTAATAGGAAATTTAATTATAACAATAAAGAATCACGTATACCTTGAAACTGATGGTGCTTTTATGAGTTCTTTCGTGTTTTAACACTTCAGCACAACTTAACTGTCTTCCTTAGTCGTGAACCGTTAGGAGGCCGTACAACGTTTTTTATAGTAGGAAATACAAAAAGTTATAGCTGTGTTATTTAAAAATAATAAATATTTGTTTGATAATGTCTGTAGCGTATGCGAGTACACATTTAAATAAAACACTTTGACGGTTTAAAACGCGATATGTATTAGGTAAACTTATTTGAAAATTATGCTCTACCCAACACAACATTTTTCAATTCGCCCCGTAGTTCCTGAGATTAGCGCGTTCAAACATACAAATAAACAAACAAACTCTTCAGCTTTCTATATTAGTATAGATATAAATTGTATCATCATATTACCTTCTTCTCCAACTTCTTGGTCAAGTCTCAAAATGGCAGCAGCTTTCTCCTCAGCCTGCTGTGCACGATTATTTCCATTTGATTCAAATCCTAAGGATCTTGAAGATCCTGGCCCAGGTGGTAAATATGTAGCCGATTGACCTGAAGACTTTGGAGGTACATACGACGTCGGTAGCTGAGCACATGAGGCAGAGCTTAGCGCAAGGGTGTTAAAAGGATCTGAAATTTATATTAAATTGTTTATAATAACGTTAATATGTCGGATGTCTTACGACCGTTATCGCAGCTTTTGTCATATTTTAACATATCTTATTTTACACTTCCCCTATTTATTCGTTTCTATTGGTCGCAGCATGATGTTATAAGGTTCAAATCATTTCTCGACAAATGGTCCACTCAACACAAAAATAATTTTCAATTCGAACTAGTGGTTCCTGAGATTAGCGCGTTCAAACAAACCCTTCAGCTTTATATTACTATAGATTTACTTACTAAGCAGAACATGTTGTGTGGTGACTTTTTACGTTTTTTCACTGCACTGTGCCATTTTTAATTCAACCCTTTTCTTTTATACCTTGTAAAATTAATAAAAAACAAATAAAAGCAAAGTTTTGAAGACGCTCACATGGCCGTGAAAAGTTAAATAGCTTAACTTTCTATAGAAGTTCTTATTAGCTTACAATCTTTGACCTTAGTGTTTGCGCTTCAATGATACTTGCACAAACATTTAAAATTATTATATTCACCGAATTCACAGCGAAGATACTAAAGGTGTAACGAGTTTATTATTTCGTCTGATAAGTTTTTTACGATAGAGAAGAACAGACAAGCTTAGGGATCGATTGGTACGTAAAATACCAGCCATATAACATCTACCTGCTTTTGGCTTCGGAAAACCACAGACTGATACGGAAACGCGATTACTTCACGACTTTTTCGTCTGTGTATGCTGGTTCGTGACCCGGGCGGAATGTCGATATTGCTACATTTAAATACTGTCTATAGTTTACGCGACTAGTACACATTTAAATAAAACACTTTAACGGTTTAAAACGCGATATATTAGTTAAACTTATTTGAAAATGATTTTTACCGATATGATAATAATATTTAAAAAATGAGAATTGAGATTGAGTGAAATGATAATGATTGATATCGCGTTTTAAACCGTTAAAGTGTTTTATTTAAGTTGCTACATTTAATTTCAAGATTTCCTGACAAAGTCCAAAAAGTTTCAGCAAAAATAGAATATAATGGAGATCAAACCCACGAACCGTTGGTAATTAGGCATAAATCGCTACCATTACACCAATTAGTAGTGTTATGGTAACTACGAAATATATATATTTTTAGCTTTTGCGATAAGCCCAACTTTTTTGGTTTCGGGCCCTTATTATGAAAAAATAATATTGTTATTCACTTGTGTAAACTGTGTTTGCGATAAATTAGATATTAAATTTTATTTAAACTTCGTTTAATAAGCTTTTGTGATAACAAGGAACTTTAAGTAACTTGTGTAATAACATAAGAATATATATCAAAGTTTCTTATACTTAAACTTGACCACGAAAATTTTACATCCCAATTAAATTATAGCAGAAGATTGTAAATTTATTGAGTTATAGGCATCGAATAAGGCTGTATATATACTAAGCGATTCAAGACGTACGAAAGCATATAATTTTTATATACTTCGATTTTTTTTCTAAACACGAAAAATAAAAGTTAAAATTAATTTTAACTATGGCTAGATTAGGATGGTTTCTTCCTGAAACCCATACGGTCTTCAAAGAACAATTACGAAAGAAACAGATGGCGATAGCGTAACAGTTTTTCTTTTCATTCGGGACACTCTCCATCATAAGTCCCCCCTAGAATACGGCAGCTTCAAAGTATCCGAAACGTTATGCCATAGTTAAATTGGAAATAAGTTAATATATTTCGCATTTTAGCACGTTAAAAGTGTTTTATGTGATAGATACAAGTAAGCTTATTCTTACGTAAAAGGGGGGCGTAACCCTTTTTTTGTTTTAACTTACTATCAAGTATTTCAAAACACCTAGGTTACTTTTTTAGATCAATGATTTTTATTATAAAAACGTAGTTTGGCGCGCTTCAAAGAATCCTAAAAGACAAACCTGTTTCTATTGAATGGTGCATAACGAATAGCAAATGGGCGTGTTGAATTTGTACAAAATTGAAACTATTCTTACTTGTAACTGGCAGCTTCTATTTAGAAGTACTTTAGCTACTATGTTAATTATATATATATATATATATTGTAATAATTAACACATGTGTAATGTGTGAATGTTTATTTGTTCTACTTCAAATGTCAAACGTGGGACATCACTGAACGGCGTCGTGCCTACTTCTAAGTACAACAAAAATTAGTGGATCTCCGTTTTTTATGATAGAGAAGGACAGACATACATGGGGCTTACTAGATGGTATGTGAAATGCCATATAACTTCCAAACAAGATGCGCTGTCTTGGGATTTGGATATTTGGAAATCCACAGACTGAAACCGAAACGCGATTAAATTTGACGGCTTTTATTATTTGAAGACGGGGGTCAAAATGTTTCGACTACGATACATACATCGAATTTATATTTTTTGTTATTTTGATTTAATATTTCGTTTCATTGGTATGTGGAATAAATGATTTGTTTTTAATTGATAGAAATTTTGTTATGACTTATATATTTTAATAACTGACAATGTGATGTTGTATCGTAACATAAAACATGAATTAAACCCTTTAAAGGTTATAAAAAAACACCTATAAACCTGCGACCGCAGTAAATCTTCACGTGTTTATGACCTCAAAATGCATTTTTAATTTTTTTTTTGTTTTTTTTTTATTATTTCAATTAATTAACCATTTATTTCTAAGCATTAAAATACATTTGTTTATAGGATAGTAAAATTATAATTAGTTTTATATTTTTCATATTGGGATATTTGTCAAAAGAATCGTCATAGAATAAATCATTTATTATATCATCGAACACAAATTCTCTAAATTTACATTTAGTACTGGTAGCCGGTCTGTTCGTCAAATGGCTGTTGAGGAATTTCCTGCGCCTTAGGAGCTAAGTATTGACGGCTGGCGAAGGACTGGCTTGGCTGCTCTTGTCCAAAGGAACCTCTTCCGAAGGCACCACCATGACCACCGAAGCTGGGTCCAGATGCTGCACCGAATTGGGGTTGGTTGAAAGAACTTGGAGCGGCTTGAGGTTGGGCAAAGGAGCTACGGGATGCAGCTCCAAATTGATGGTGGGAGTTTACGCCAAATTGCGGTTGGCTGTACTGGTTTGCAGGGGCACCAAATTGAGGCTGGCCGTATTGTGTGCTTGGGATTTGGGCACCAAATGATGAGGGTTGGTTGCGAGCAAAGCCACAGGATTGGCATGCAGCTGAAATTAAATAATGTAATTAAACATTTAACTGTTTCAAACGTGATATTTTTAGTCATTCTACATTGACTACGATCAGTTGTTTCGAATGCTTCTCAGAAGACCTGATTCCTACCCTCTCTCTCCACCTTTTAAACCTCATAAATTTTGCAGAAAAAACTAAGTTTTATTTGTGTTTTTTTTTTATATAAAACCGCCTGTGTAGCTAAATGGTTACATGTGTTGCTTAGCTTTGGGTTTAGCGCGAATTTGGACCTGGATTTGAATCCCGGCGAAATTCGGCGACTATTCCGGTCGAGTAGGGCTGCACAGTCTGATTTACTACTTGCCTTTAAAGAAAAACTTCACTGATCTGTGAAACGGACACAAAAATGTGTTCGCCCCACGCCCAAAGCAGGGAAACGGGATTTCGCATTTTTTTTGTAAATGACACCTATTCCAATAGTCAATATAAGATATTTATTTTATATTATGTTATAACTCTGACGCATCTGTTGGGTTGGGCGCACGCATTATAGAAACCTTTGGACCGATTAAAAAAGTCTATATTAGATTCAATATCGACACGTAGAAGGGCATATGAAATTTTGTTGCGACGACTTGTAGAAAAACAATCATTTATGTTAGAAAAACGAAATAAAATATTAAGTAACCACCTAATACGTTTGATATTGACGACTTGACTTAGAAATAAGATAAAAGCTTAAAAACTCTATAATCTTAGATTAAATATATCAACGAAGCTAAGCTATGTTTCAAAAGTTTTACAAGACTATAAGTAGGATAATTTTTGCAACTGACTGATGGTAAAAGCTTACGTTTGATGGATCCGCTGAAACCAGAAGGACCAGATGAGGGTTGATCGGGAGGCAGGTACTGTTTCAAACCGTCAACCGCACCGTTAGATCCTTGACCAGATCCAAATCCATTCAGAGATCCAGCGAACCCGTTATCAAATCCAGATGACCCCGGCGCTGAGTTCCTGAAGCCATTGTCACTTGGAGATCCACGAGCGCTGGCACCGAAATGTCCTGAACCAAGTCCGTTTGATGCTGGCGATCCGAAACCCCCTGAGATTGAGTTGGAGTTGTCTGGAGGAAGGTAGGACCGTTCTAGATGCTCCAGCCGAGCTCCGGCGGATACTGCTATCAAAGCGGCGATGACAAACTTAAAAAAAACAAAGACAGATTAAAAATTTTAAAATATATACCCAATTTATCAATGAAAGATTAAATATCTGGAAGAATTATTATTAAATACTGCGTGTAGTTTACGCGAGTAGTACACATTAAAATAAAACATTTTCACGCGTTTGGAGATTATTTTAACTACGGCCCGAGGATGCTTTGCAGCATGCTAGGTCACGTGGAGGCTAAAGATGGAGGATGGTACACCCTCTATTTGCACCAGTTTTAAACCGTTAAAGTGTTTTATATAAGCATTATATTTTTACATGTTCTCGCATAAAAGATCAAAATGTGATAAAAATAATATCCATAATTTAGTCTGCTAACTAAATATACAAATATGCTTTTAAAATTGAAAAGTATATTACAATGGTGGTATTAAAATTCGGGAAACATTTTTTACAGCACATTTTTCAAATTTTACAATTTAAAAAAAAAAGATTTTAATGTGAAATCTTTGTCGTTCTAAATTCAAAATCTTCAGAACTCCAATTAAATGTTATACAAAAATTTAAATTACCAATTTCATTTTGGGCGGTTGAAGGTACTAACTTAACTGAAGCTCACGAGAAACTGTGGTTATGTGGAACGAGCTGACCTATTATATACCAAATGACCTGCTTCTAATCCTGATGAATCTCACGCGTGCTCTGACGTCACCCAAAGCAATAAGCATCTCAAGATAGTGATATACATGACCGAGTAATTAGCTGTTTTTTTTGGATCCGACCTCGTCAGTCAAAGGTATTCAAGGGTACTTGGTTTAATTAATTTCAGCAGTCCTCAATCGATTTCATTATGAAAGCTACCTTTTGTTTGTTGCAGTTTTGAGATCGTGATATTATTGTGTGTTCGTGAATAGAGGACCATTAGTTGATATTATGAGTTAGCTATTTTGCAATGGCAGGTTTTTATGCCTATGATGGAATCATTGTAAGCATACAGTGCGCTAATTAACCGAATACAGATTAACCGAAGTGCCAATTATCCGAACCTGTGTGCGATGCTTGACCAGAATATAAAAATGCGAGTGATACTTGCAGAGTGGACACTCTTTAACTACGTAAAGCACGTTTATGTTTTCCGTAGAACAAAAAAGCATTTGAGTTTTCTATTTCTGATATTTGTATATGTTTCTGTGTTCATTTGTTTTACCCCCTGTACCCTTTTTTTTTATTGGTTCTCTGAAAGAGTACATTTGTTAGCGACAAGACCGCCCATTACGCCTTTTTATAAATTTTGTTTATTGTTCTATGTATAAAATTGAAAGTTAATAAATACTTACCGATAATAATTATAATAAGTTTAATATAGTGGAAAGAGAATCTAGCAATAAAACAAAGGCAAAGTAAGGTCGGTGAAGAAAAACGAAAGAGAAAATTAAAATATAATTTGTATAAATGAAAAAATGAATTTTCAAGTCCTGCCGTGTAATGTTTTTATTTTCAATCAAAAAGAGATTTTTAATATATATAATCTGCAATATGTGAAAAATGTGAAAGTTTTCGAATTCTAGAAATAACTAAATATATGCACATGAGTATACTGAGGTAAATAAAAAAGGTCATTAAATCAATGCTAGATTGTTATCCTTTTAAGTCCCCGGTCGAAGATCCGGTGATCAGTCCACGCACTATATTGACCGCTTCAACCCTTTTCTCACTTCCCCGATGTCCCCCACAAAGTTTGAGTCGTCCAACGTATCGCTAGATCCGTCGGATCAGAAACGTCGGACCGTAGTTAAAAATAATTCTCAAACAACTTTAACTAAAATATATCTTGTTTTAAACCGTTAAAGTGTTTTATTTAAATGTGTACTACTTGCGTAAACTACAGACAGTATTTTCCTCTTTTTTATTAAAAGTAGCAATGACATTGGGCATATAGTATACAATATCCATTTATGTAAAGTAGAACTACAAGTAGATTTTATTACATTACCCAATAGTTAATAATAGTACACCTAAGGCTATCGTTTAAATTGATCGTGATGTGCGCCGGCGATGATCTTGTTACTACAATATTTTGGCAGCGCATATCAAAAGATTTCAACGAATCTTTTGATTTAGTACACGTTAAGTAATTGTATTTTTTGTAGAGTGCTCAGAGCGCGCTTTGTTAAGAAATCATGAAAATTTATAATGATTTACATTTAAAAAAAAACTATTGACGGCTTAAAAGACGGATTTTTTTTAAACTTTAATATTTTCTTTATTGGACATTATATAAATTAAGAATGGATTTAACATTGAAAAAATTCGTCGGTACACGATAGCACAATCGGTTAGAGCGACAACACGCAACCTGTGTTTGCCAGTTCAAATTCTACACGTGTCTTAAATTTTTTTTTAATCTAATATCGATTTTTAATTTAATATACGCATTTGTAATTTTAACTCATTTTTAAATTATTTTAAGTACGACCCCATATTTTGCATGCTATGCAGAACCGGCGGTGGGGTGGTTAAAAATGTATTATTGATGTGCACTACTCGCTTAAAAGAATTTATTGTTCTGATGGAAAAAAACTGATTTTGTTAGTGAGGTCGGAAGTTCGGTTTCTGTCATATACATATATCATAGTGTATATAAATAAATAATCACTTAAGTGGTTACGGAAATATTATTATTAGAAATTTAATTAAAATAAAACTGGTTAAGAGCAAGTTGAAATAACGTAGCGAGGGTTCCGTAACAATATCTTATACGATTCCATATACTAACCTTTAATATTAAAATACTTCCTTAATTTTTATTTAACACTTATATCAATTTAATGTTTTTATAACGCTGTTGACTAGTTTTATTTATTTTTTAAATTATTTTGCCTTTGAAGTGTTATTAGCAAAATCTCAGTTAAAACTATTTGCTTACACTAAATGTCTGTTACTAAAAAAAGGAAAGTTTAAATGGAAACTTCTTATGGAAATAAGTTTATTGAAAATATTGCAGAAAAAAGTAGTCAGTTTTATTATTAAGTATTAAAGTATTTTGTTTTTTTTTTTTTTCGTTAATCATTTAGTGTTAATTCAACAGTTCGATATAATTGAAGGACTTAACGGAAGCATGTTTTCCTTAATAACTATATGCTTTATAAGTCCCTGGGTTTTCTTGCAATATCGATCTTGATGTATTTTGCATAGTTTACGCTCGTAATTTATATAAAAGTAGCAATTTCGAGCAATAGAACTATTTTAGCTACCTAGTTTTTAAATATAGTATGTTATTTGTTATTCGATCGATAATCTTAAATTCGACATTGGTGGCACTCAAAATGCTATAAGGAACTATACTCCAAGACCAAGGTATGGTGAGCATATTTGTAATATTCCTTTGTTTAGCACAATGTGTATCCTCTTTCTGTAAATATTTATTTATTACTAAGCTAGCTAAGCTGATAGGCCGTAGGGGGGGGGGGGGGTTTAATTGATTTTTAACTTCGGCTCGACGTTGTCTCCCGTGACCACTGCTGCTGCAAAGCATCCGAAACGTCGGGCCGAAGTTAAAAATCTTTTTCAAATAAGTTTAACTAATATATCGCGTTTTAAACCGTTAAAGTGTTTTATTTAAATTATTGTAATAATTAAATATGCACTAATCTATAGACTAAAGTCACTCTATAGTCTGTGTATGCCTTACATTTGATTAACGACGATACATTACAAAATAGTCGTCATGTCAGATCTGTAATTCCGTTAGACGGTTAAGGAGAATGCCCTGGGTCAGATCTAAATCGTACATCGTTTACCTACACCTGACATTGTGTCCTTTCAAATCTCGTTGTACCATTTTCATATACCTAGTATATCGTTTTTAAAATGAAATTTAAAATAGTATTAAAGTAAATAAAGTAGTAGCAATTAAACCATTCCGCAGTACCCGACAGTTTTTAATATAAAATATCCTAATAGAAGCCATATAACATCTCTTATCATATTTCATCTAATGCACCGTCCTATTTTGGCTTTGGATATCCAGGATTCGTCAGACTCAAACCGATACGCGATTAAACTTTCCGGCCTTTTCATCTGAGAACGGCGGTTCGTGACCCGAACAGAATTTCCATATACCTACCACTCATTTAATATCAGATTTCCAGACGAAGTCTGGTATGTTTCAGAAAAATATAAATTGATTAGAAATGTTGGGCCCGAATGTCGGGATCAAATCCACGACCCGTTGATTATTAGTCAAACGTTGCTACCATTAGAACGAGTGCGTTAAAATTATGATGTTTCACCGTCATGATCTACACAAATGAACAGGTGAAAACCGTTTCCGAATGTCCAAAGTCAAAATAGGTCAGGAGCGCATTTTAAATCGAAAAGAGACAGTGTAGATAGAACTTAATTACTTATTCTTGCTCTCCTAAGCTTGGTACCAAGTATATTATGATAATTAATTTAATCATTTTGTAATTACATAAGGTTGTCAATGGAACTAATCTCCATACGTATAAAAACTAGTATTAGGAACATCGCATCTGCTGTATCTATAGTAGGGGCTCTCGACATTTATACGCAAGACTAAACCGCTTTTGTTTTTCGGGTTAAAACTCGTTTGGTTATGATACATTTGATTTTATTATTAATTCGTATTCCAAACTACCTCGTTGGTGTACTGGTTAGCATGCTCGACTGTTGGCTACTGTCCCAGGAATTCGAATCCTGGATGGGGCGAAGTTGTTTCTTGTAAACTTATAGAAAGAAATATAGTAAACAAAGGTTTAAATTATGCATTTATTTTCTTTGTAATTTAATTAAATACTTACTAATTTTATCACTTCCAATCTTCAGTGACCTATTCACTCCAGAACATTTTTTAAAGTATTCTTAGTTAGCTAGAGATATAAAATTATCTACTTATTTAATAAATATTTCTTTAAATCATTTATATAATTAAGGTGTTACTGAAAAAATAAATTGAATTGATAAAAATGTTAGAGGTATATATGATCCAACTATAATAAGAAAATGATGCAGTACAGTTGTGTCTGAGGCCTATGTAACTGAAAGTAGGTTATAAAAGGAGTGGTGGTGAGTTTATTGCCGCGGCGGTCCAAGCCGAGGCCGATGCCCCCCTAAAGGCACCCATGGTCTAGCCGCAAACACGGCGTTAGTATTCGAATCCCCGGGCACAATACGTAAAATCAAATTTAAAAAAAAAAGTTTATTGCCAGTTTCATCTTCTTGTTAGTTCTATGCCTTTGAGTTGAGAAACGGTAGTAAGTTTAAATTTAATGTCTTATGGTGTGACGTTACCTTGGTCAATAAATTACTGTTACAGTTTGTGTAGTCCCCGCTGCTTGCAGATATCCCGCTCCAAGCCAAACATGGTGACCATAAAAAGAGTGAAACCATAAATAGATAAGATGAGCTTAATGACTATTTATGAGATAAAAAAGGTCAAAAGGTCTCTCGTTTGAAGTGAATATGACGTGACTGATGTCTGGCGATGGACAAGATGTACTGGTGTGTCGATCCTTTTATGATTATACAGGTAGGCAATTGTTTCTCTAAGGTTAAACCTTAACAGTTTAAAGGATTTTTAAACTTTACGTTAAACGTCGAAGAAGGTTTTTTACTTATTTAAGATTTCATATTTGTATGTACATAATTAATAGGTCAATAACGCATCAGCGTTACAATTAACACCACATAAGTCTCATCATTGAAAAAGTGCAAATCTTTTACACTATTTAAAATAATTAGGACCAATTATAATGGAAATAATGATTTAATAGTATCTTTTAATTATAGTCATAAATTATATTTTTGAAATACCAATATATGACATTGATTTTTTAATTAACGGATGCCGCTTTTTATAATAACTTATTTTATAGTTAAAGGTAATAAATGAAAATATGATTATTTTTCTTATTTTAATATATTTTTATGTTATGTATATACATGGAGTGTATAATAGTACCTGTTTCGACATTGGTCGTTTTTAATCGAAAAATTTTTTTTTTTTTTAAAACTTTTTTTTTTATATACAAACAAGTTTCAACTTAAAAAAAATATTTTTTGTGCACTGAAAACTACAAAAAACAATAATTTTTGACATAATCATCGTGTTTTACTAGTGTAGCCCTTTCGTTTGAATCCCATATTGAGGGGGTTAAAAAAAAATATTTAATCCGCCATTTTGTATCGGCGGCCATCTTGGATTTATAATGTTTTCAATTTTATTTTGTTGTATTGTTATCTAAATAAAATGTGTACCTGATTTCAGGCCAATCTGACAACGGGAAGGTGCTCAAATTTCCATTTTTAATTTTGACCCAAATACATTCCGTACGGGTTGACTCAATAAAACCGTTTAAAAAATAAATGATCACACTTTTGTCCCATGCTTCAATAAAAAGTGACTACATTTCCACGGGATTCAAACCTAGAACTTGTGGAAGTGAAAGAGAACCTGTTTTCACATGGCAACTATAAATCAATCAACTTATTTTAGATTGAAAATGTTTACGACACGGGCAGCATATGACCCGGCATCCACCGAGCCGTTCTGTTGCTCTAACCCATTGAGATGTTGATCACGACACGTCATCGTCGATTTTGTTTGATATCGATAAAAACTCCAAAGCCAAAAGGCCTTTTACGTTTTTTAACTTTTCCATTGTGTCTACCAGGTCAGTCACATACCAGTTTCAAACTAGGAGGGGAAAGAAGGGAACGTCACAAATTTTTGTACACCACGCGAGGACGCCAGACAAGCATAGCGATCATCTGATGGTAATTGAGATACCCGGTTTTCACATTTAGTTAAATGGGTTGTCTACCTATCTTCGCTTAAACATTTGTTTACCCATAGACTATTCGCAAATTAAACGTTACTGCTTTTCCATTATTTTTTTGGAAAAAGTCTGAAATGTATAGGTATGTTGGTCCTGGTGGATATTGAAAGCACGCTGCATTTAATAGCCACCTCTATTTACCATTTTTAAGAGTTTTCCACGTAAGCTTTGTCAATGCAATGAATTAAACGTCATTAAAACATTCCTAGATGCCACTGTGACCCAGTGGCGACATCTATATGTCACAATATACCATCATCGTGTTTAAATTAATCCACACAAATGGAAATAAGAGAAGATTTTGTACCCAATATTATTGGGTCAATTCATTTTTTTTAAATAATTATTAGCTAATAATCGATCTTGTTGTGGGTCTAACATTTTTCTAATCAGTTCATAATTTTGAAATATTTTACACTTCGTCTGGAAATCTGGATATTAAATGGATTACCCATTAAGGAATATCGCAATTTCGTCCGGGTCACGAACTACCGTCCATAAATGAAAATGCCGGTCAAGTTTAATCGCGTTTCGGTTTTAGTCCCTGGATTAACGAATATCTAACGCTGAAATAGGTCGACAGTGTATTTTGTTTAAACGTTGTATGGCTAGGAAATTTCACTTAACATAAGGGGTTGTCCATTAATCACGTGACCTTTTTTAGAATCTTTAAACCCCCCTCTCCCATTGGTGATACGTAGTGAGGTTTGAGACCCCCCCCCCCCCCTTTCCCCTTCTCAACATCACGTGTATTTTTAGTACCTACAAAGAATCTTAAAATTTTTCTGAATATTGTCTTACTATAAATACAGGTATAAACTATAATTTTATTTTATTCTGAAATTAAGGACCATAATAAAAATGTCTACACCATTTGTTTAAAATCGCTTTACGAAAAAATAAATACACGAGATATCTTACTATACCCCCCCTCCACCCTTGTGTTATTTTCGTGATTTTTATCAAACCCCTCCCCCCTTTAAGCCTTACGTGATTAATGGACAACCCCTAACGTGAACCCGAAGCTTTTCAGTTCTTCTCTATTTAATAAAAAGGGAGTAGCTATAATTACAGTACTGGACTCGACTAATATTTATCTATCTTTCTTATCACAGATTTAATGTATGCAAATAATATTGATTAAATAATATAGTGTTGGAAAACTTACATACTTTTTTCATGTTATTGCACATGAAGGCACTACTATATAATTCAAAAAATCTAAAATAAATAAATTTTTTTTTCGACTCGGGCAGGACTTGAACGCTGACGATGCCGGTTCACGTCTAGCCCGAAGTCGATTTTTTTTTTATTAATTAAAATTAATATATTATATATTATATCACTATGGTATAAAATCCGTCAAGCGCGGGTCACCTAATAAATTTTTTAACTATACAATACTTTAAATAGTTTATAAAAACTAAATATAAAGTATACAGTTAAAATAAATTATCTATTTAACTAATATATTTCGCATTTTAAACAGTCAAAAGTGTTTTATTTAAACGTGTGGTCGCGTAAACTGTAGTCAATATTGCATTGAAGTAATTATGATATAGTTTTGTCAACAGACAGCCCATACAACAAGCCTTATTTGGCTTTGGGTGTGAAAACCAAGAAAAAACAAAAATTGCTATAAAACATTTATTCATATTTACAATTACAAGCTATCGTTTACGTATATTCCATCATCGTGCTTAAACCTAGTACTGTCCATTTAAATTGCCAAGTAATCTAGACTTATTGCTAAGCTAAGATACAAGAAAGAGAGGGAAGATGTCATGATTGAGATCATCAGAGAAGAGGGAATGGGATGGGATTAAGGAAGGTATGAGACTCCGACTTAAGGGTCTAAATCACATTTATGGTTCACAGCTTAATTGTCATCATAACGAGCCAAGGAATACCAGACACTATGATGCTCTAAGTGTCCAAAACAACAAAAGAAAAATTGATCCAAAAAGTGAAGCTTACTGAAAAGCTCCTGGATGATATTCAAGTCTTAGGCATCATAGTTTCTGGATGGTATTTTTTTACAGCATACAAGCCAGTCTGTCTCGGTGGTCAACGGCGTTCTACCAAATTGATTTAGTAGCGGTAGCCGGATTGCGCGTTAAAGTTTCCATTTCCAGAACCACGTCCAGCGTTGGGTGTCAGGTACTGCCTAGAGGGAGCTCCGAAGTTGGAACCCTGACCCCCAAAACCAGATCCTCGTCCACCAAAGCCTGACGATCCTTGCCCACCGAAACCAGATCCTTGATTGCTGTATCCAGAGTTTTGACCTCCGAAACCGGATCCTTGGTTACTGTATCCAGAGTTTTGACCTCCGAAGCCGGATCCTGCGTTACCGTAGCCAGAACCTTGACCTCCGTATCCCCCACGACCAGCGCCGGCACCAGCGCCAGCTCCCTCACCTCTGTATTGGCCTTGAAAGAAAATAAACAAAAAAGTAAGCTCCCATTGTATAACTACTAAATTAAAAAGGACTTTTGATCTAACGTTATGTTGAAGCTTTAACTTTAAACATTGTTGAAATTTTGATCTAGCGTAATGCCCGATCGATTCTGATGTCGATTCCTGAAAAGACATAAATCATTTTTGACAGAACATATTTAAAACTTTTTCCTGTAAATGAAACTGATCAGTGGGTAGACATATTTTCCACAGTAGTAGTAGAAAAGCGGCAACTTAAGTATATTTTATTAAGCCGTATATTATCATCATGATTTTGTATTATCTTAATTTGAAAGTTGTTACATGCTGGCTAACATCAATAATAAATATTTTGTTGCAGAAGAAAAGAAATTGAGTAGTTTTTTCCTTTATCGTATGTCAGTGAGTTTGAGTTAATACCATATAGCCCGCGGATTAACCTTTCCAACCTCTCTCAGCGCGGCAAATGGGCTAGATTTAGTTCACAGATCTGTGTGTGAATCACATACAATGCCAGTCATTAACAAATTGCCCATTTTGTCATATTATTTTTTTTAAATTTTTTTTTTTTTTTTTTTCAAAAAAGGCTTTTTTTTTTTTTAAATTTTTTTTTCCCCCCCGGGGGGCTTTTTCCCCCCCCCCCCAAAAAAACACGGAGGGGGGGGGGTGTCTTTTTTTCCCCTGCCCGAGTCGAAAATTTTTTCCCCCAATTTATTTTCCGATTTTTATTTTTTATATCGTGCTAAGGTGTTATTTAAAACATTTGATCTTTGTATTGTTCGATGTAAAGACAAGAATGGTTCGCGAAGGACGTTGAAAGATGAAATACAACCGCCTTATGTATTTTTTACGATAGAGAAGGACAGAAAACGAAATGGGATATCTCAGCGTTTCTAAACAAGATGCGCTGTCGTCCTATTTTGTTATTGGAAATTAGAAAATGCAAAGACTTGAATCTAAAGGTTATGCTTTAAATAGAGTCATTGAGAGAGCTCTTCCAACTCATTCAACTGACTTGTGGTCTTTGTTTTGGCCTTTTAAACCGTTACAAGTGTTTTATTTAAACGTGTACTTTTCGCGTGAAATAGATAATACTAATTGTAATTATGTTTATAACACGTTTTAATCAAATAATATCAAATTAGAAAACTACGACACGGGCAAGACTTGACCCGGCATCCACAGCGTTCCGTGCTATTGCTCTAATCAATTGAGCTATAAGCAAACCATCTTTTAAAAAAAATCCTTTACTCAACATAAGCTGTAATCGTTAAGAAGATTCCAAGTATTAATTTAGTCTAATCTACCCTGATAATAAACTTTTTGTTAACTTAACAGCACCGTGGGAATGAAATTTACATTACAGCGCCTAGTACCACGAGCGAACTCAATATTAATAGTTCAGTGCAAGTAATAACGTTGCGTAACATAATGCACTTAGCAAAAGCCAGACTAAGAATAATGTTAAAATTAGTTTCATCAAGTTAAATTATAGGTATTCTTCACTTCGCCGTGATTGTCTAAGTCGTCCACCTGTTTCGGAGGTATTGGGCAACCGTTTCACAAACACTATTCCTTAATAGAACATCATGATTTTGGACTAGAATTAATTGCAATAGAATTTGTGTTTTAAATGTCAAAAGGCGGGTAAGGCCCACGTTTCCTGTCCGTTTTTTTTGGTATATATTATAGTTTGGTCTACTTTTATCCCTTTAAAACGCGTAATAAATATTTTAACTTACTTTAAACAATTTTTAGCAGCTGACTTGTAGTTAAAATGAAGTTGATATTTAACATTCTAAATAGTTATTTTTATTTAAACTACCGACGATGTGTGTTTGTATGTGGGAATTTTTTTGTTACAAATTTAACGGCTTGTCAAAGAATTTAAGTGCAGTCCGTAGCTACATATACAAAAGTATATTAAAATTGGAAAACCATTGTTTTTTTTTTAAAAAAAAAAAACAACATTTAAGTAAAACCATTTTAGGTTGAAGAGCATTTTTTAAATAATAACCGTTTTAAATCGTTAAAAGTGGTTTTATTTAAATGTGACTACTCGTGTAAACAACAAACAATGGTTCTCAAATTTTAATAGACTTTACATTTTTTTCGGTATCGTTTTAGACTTTTTAGTCTATCGTCCCCGGGGCCTTTCTAAAATTGGTTTTAGAAAGGTGAATATGTTTTGTCTTTCGTAAAGTGTGAAACAACCTTTACCTTTGAGATCCCTATATTCATGAATTTGACCTTATGTCCGGTTAAATACGATCTAGATGTTCAGATACATTTCACAATTCAAGGTAAGTCTTAATACGTTGGTTTCGTTTGACAAAACGATGTATTAAATTACGCGTTTATAATTTAACTATGAACAAATGTTTCGGATCTTTAATATTTTTTACGTGTGCACTATATAGATTAAAAATCTATAATCAATTGACTCGGTAGCTCAATTGGTTAGCAACAGCACGGAACGCTTACGATGCCTGTTCAAGTCCTGGCCGAGTCGAAATTTTTTCTAATGTTTCCGATGCTAACTCGTGGTGATTTGGACTCATAACTAATATATTTCGCGTTTGAAACAGTTAGAAATGGTTTTACATTAGATAGAGATAGTTAATCATAGTTTAGATTCCTCAGAACTATCGGGTGGAATTTTTTTTTAAACAGAATTGTCGTTGTAAGTATTACGTTATGTAATTAGTATCGTTTACTAATATTTAAATAATAACACTTTAACGGTTTAGAACGCAATATATTAGTTGAAGGTATTTAAAATCGATTTTTAACTTCGGCCCGATGTTTTGGATGCTTTGCAGCATTTTCAAATAAGTTTAACTAATATATCGCGTTTTAAACTGTTAAACTTTTTTATTTAAATGTGTACTACTCGCGTAAACTATAGACAGTATCGTTTACTGATAATAATATAAGTGACGCTTGTTATTCCCAATTTGGGGACATGGATTTGGGGGCATACTGCATCTAATTCTCTCATCATTTTGGAACATCGAATTTTTATATCCCAATTAGAATTTCGTATTTTTTTATACATCGAAATATATCTTATCTAGAAAATACATCACAGTGCATGTCTACCGCAGTCTTTAAAGCTTAATTGGTTCGTTGAATCAGCTGTAATCGCCTCCCAAGCTCTCATCAAATGTCAGTGAACAACATAGGGTTGTCACAAATAATCATAAAAGTTAAAAAAAAAACAAAAACTCTATCATTTAATAATGCAACGATATTTTTTGGAAAATAAATACTTTACCCTCACATAATAATCAATTTTGGATTGAAATAAATTACGACACGAGCAGGACTTGAAGTTGAAGGACTTGGTTCGAGCAACAGCACAAAACATTGTGGATGCCGGCTCAAGTCCTAGCCGAGTCGTAAAATATTTCAATGTATAATCAACTTTTAATTTATAGCGCCATCAAGCAATAACGTTGGATAAATGAGAAAATAAAATATGTATATTCCATGAAGTTTGGTAACCCTATAATGCGCGTGCGCAGAGCGTATTGGCGCGGTTTGTGCACAATTAGGCGAGTGACCTATCACCTGGACCGCACTTAAATGGGAGCCTTTGCGGTATTAGGTAATTAGAAGTTTACACAGCACATCATGAATGTTATGGATCATCTACAAATAGATTGTGCAAGGACTAGATGTATTACCACATCGCTTTAGCTTTGTTGTAAAAGGATGTACGTACATATAAACCAACTTTTAGAACGATCCCTGGCTAAAGTAACTGTATGCCGTGCATGATATTGTTTTTAAACTCAGGCATTGTAGTGTTAAATACTGTCTGCAGTTTACGCGAGTTAAATCAAACACTTTAATGGTTTAAAACGCGATATATATAAGTTAAACTTATTTGAAACATATAAGTTATAAGTTAATTTGCTTTTGGAAGTCCGGGGGTTAATTTTGTCATTAATAACACAATTATCATTAAACTTAAACATATCACATGTTAAAATTAATGATAATTGTGTTTGATTACATTTAATAAAAAAACTAAGTTTTTTTTAGTTTTTCGCAATAGTTGTGGTCTATTACCTGGCAAGGTCAGACACGCTTACATTAACTCGAAAAATGTCTGAAGCTATTAATTTTTTTTTATAAATAGACCAGTAGTTAACATCATTAATGGTTCATCTTTTTTGTTAAGTGATGTAACTTTTAGTATCAAGTATTTATAGGCGTGAATCACACGAGTAGAATTATACGGATGTTTGTTATGTCTATTTTAGGGTTCCGTACACCAAATATTATTATTAATATTTGGTTGTCTATCTGTCTGACATTCTATTTCAACCACAGATTTTTTTTAAATTATATACTACTATATAGATGTCACTCAAATAGATGGCAATCTAAGACTGTAAAATTAAACTTGGCGATAAAGGGAGTGACGACGAGTTTATTGCCAGTTCTTCTCGTTCGTTCTATTGATTTGAGAACTGGTAGTAAATGTAAATTTAGAAACTAGTTTTTAATGACCTACGTGAATAAATGTTATTTGACTTTGACCAATGTTTTTATTAAACATGGTTGGTAACACTGTGGACGAAGGTTCAAATCCCGACTTTTTTTTACACCGAATTGACTAACAGTCTCGCCAAATACCAACTTCGCAACAGATGGCGATAGCGTAGGAATTTTCACTTTGACGTCAGACACATCCTCCATCTTTAGTCTCCTCCTAACCACGGCTGCTGCAAACCATTCGAAACGTCGGGCCAAAGTTAAAAATCATCCTTCGCTTTTAAACCGTTAAAATGTTTTATTTTTAAATGTGTACTACTAGCGTAAACTGTGTTGAATAGCTAATTTCACAATTTAGCAACTCTTATAAAAAATGTCTTTTGAAATGTGTCAGTGCAGATTTAATTAATTCAAGAAGTGCATTAATGGTGTTAGCAAACTTTCCCATATAAAGTGCCAAGTACGCGATACGGCCAAAGATTTATACCGACCGATCTCCTGATAACTGCATTATGCATCGTTGAAGAAGATACTTAGCTGTGTGAATGAGTTATGTAAGTTTCCGAATGTCCTAAGCGATATATAGGTCACAATATGCATATTATTGAGTGAATATTTATATAACTAACAAACTTTTAACAGTTTAAAACAATGAATATATTAGTTAACTTATGTACAATTTAAAAATAATTAATTTATTTGAGGTGTGAAACAATTATATGTGTAGGTAATAGTCGCGTGAAATATTTTTCCATTTTTTCTTCCAACCCGTCTACAAACACAGTACAGTAGGTTTTCAATTCCATCGTGTATATACCCTTTTAGTTTGTTCGCGGATAACTTATTCTTCTGTGAACCATTTTTAAGCACCATTGCAAAATTACAGAGATTTTTTTATAACAACCCCCATTTCAAATACTATAATATTATAATTAATTATTCCTCCAAATTCCACTAACTTGCTTCTGCTCTCGTGATTTTCAAAAAATGGAACATACCATCATCAATGATGCCAGCGGCTTCATCCCTCGCGTTCTGTTCCAGGCTCTTCAAGATCTCCTCTGGAATGGGGGGAGGGGTGGGCAGATGAGCTCCGCGTGGCTGGTAGCCGTTCTCGTCAGCTGTGTAAGTGATGCTGTAATCTTGACCATCGTCTCCCTTGTAAGAGAAGCTACCTTGGGACTGGACACCGTTGGTGGCTACACCAGATGCGTCGGCTCTTATGCCATTTGATGTTTCGTATTCGTAAGAAAAGCCGTCAGCCGTAACTTCACTGTTAACAAAATATATGTTTAATAGTAATTTATACTGATATTATAAAGCTCAAGAATAACTTTTTTGCGCTAATCGGAGGAATAACTGGTTCGAATTAAAAAAAGTCTTTTAATTTAAAAATCGAAAATTAATTGAAAAACATTTCGACTCCGGCAGGACTTGAACCGGCATCGTCAGCGTTCCGTGCTGATGCTCCACCAATTGAGCTACCGAGTCCTACTTTAATCCTTTTTTAATGTCTTTAAAAAACAAGAACGTGGATCACATTCATAATTTATAAACCTGAGGAGGTAGTTAGCAAAAATGAATAACGGCCTAAGTAACTACTCCACGCAGACGAAGTCGCGGGCACAGCTACATAGAAATATTGATAATACAGGCGGATCTCGAAGACGACCACACTACACTGTTCCTTCGTCAAAAGCCGTTACATAGTTTTACAGAAACAATAATTAGTTATATTTTTGTTGTGCTAATAATTATAAAAGCCACCAAATTCTCTTTCTAGCTTATTTAAAGATTAACTTTAATCCGAAATATTATACCAAAAAACTTTTACTCCAATATTGAATTAACAACTAATAGTTATCAGTAACACTTTACACCCAAGCTACCCTAGTCCTACCCTATTATAATTCTTTTTTATCCCAATATGTAAACATTATTTAAACCTATTTCTTACTCTTTGACTTAAGTTTAAAGTTTTCGTAGCTGAGTTGTAAAATTTTACCTGTTCAATTTCAAGATCTGCGCGCCAGCATCAGCGGACTGTCTGCCGCCGCCGAAACCGCCGCCATTGTACGCTCCGGCACCACTCTGTCCGAAACCAGCAGATCCAGATCCGAAACTGGCTTGTCCAGAGCCGAAACCGCTACCCCTTGAACCGAAGCCACCGTTTCCACCTCCGAAGCCGTTTCCGGAACCGAAGCCAGCGTTCGAGCCGCCGAAGCCACCGTTAGCGCCGTAGCCTGCACCTGCTCCTCCCCTAGGAGGGAGGTAGGCATTGTCCAAACGGGCTGCAGAGCAAACCCCAAGAACGGCAGCTACTATGAACTGAAAGTTTAATATGTTAAAAAAAAATCAATACATCTAATATGTATCCGCTGCAGTAATTTTGCTTCAAACCCCAAATTTTTTGGTACATAAAATTGTAAATAATTTTTCGAAGCAACTATTTAATCATTTTTACGTGTCAAGTAATGTTGGTTGTATTTTTTTCATATTCTAGATCAAAGAATAAACCAAACACTTCTGTAACTTTATCATTAAGTATTGTTTGTAGTATTTGAGACTACATCTAAATAAAACACTTGCAACGTTTTAAAACGCGAAATGTATTAGTTAAACTTTGGCAGATCAATAACGTCGAACGGTAGTTAAAATATTAAATAAATAAGTTATCTAATTCATTTTTGTTTTAAACCGGTTAAAATGTAAAAAAAAAACATTATTTTTATGAATTTTGCATTGCATTTAAATAAAACACTTTAACGGTTTAAAACGTGATATATTAGTTAAACTAGCCGTGGTCACGGCTGCTGCAAAGCATCCGAAACGTCGGGCGGAAGTTAAAAATCATTTTTCAAATAAGTTTAACTAATGTATCGCGTTTTAAACCGTTAAAGTGTTTTATTTCAATGTGTACTACTCGCGTAAACTATAGACAGTATTTTGCCTTACATTGAAATTTATATTTTTAGCCTTTCTCTCTGTTAATAGATGAGCAGGTTGAATGCATTAGTCTAACAAATGTATTTCGTGCCCGACACTTTGCTCGGGGCGAAGTTTGTAGGGCACTTGCTCAAACACTCGAACCGAATTTGCTTACGAAACTTGATGGATATGTAATTATATCATCTTTAAATCGTTACGTGTTACATATACACTTCAACATTGATCTCGCGTTATGCTTACGAGCTTTTTAGACTATCTTCTAGTATAACGTATGAAAACTTTAATATTTTACACATGTTATTGCACATGATGGCACTATATAAATTAAAAACCGATTATAAATAAAAAAAATAGACAGTTTAAATAAAACACTTTAACAGTTTAAAACGCGATATCTTAGTTAAGTATATATTAAAAATAATTTTCAAATAAGTTTAACTAATATATCGCATTTTAAACCGTTAAAATGTTTTATTTAAAAACAAAATTATACAAAAAATATGAACACCAATAATGTTCTCTTTTAATACGAATACCCTCTTTATAGGTTACACCGCGAATCATAGTTTTTTATTTACAACCCTACTGGGGTAAAGAAAATTTTTCGTTTTATCATATCCTTAAACGGCCCGACACAATTACTATTTTAATAGTACTTACCAGTTTCATATTTATTTTATTAAATAAGTGATATGTTTGCACCGGTAAGCCACAAACTGTGCTGATAGCTAGAAGCAGCTAGGTTTTATACCAGCAAGATTGCCGTTGCTGCTTAAATGGTATCACGGCCGAATCGATAGTAAGGTCTTTCAAGTGAACGCATCTTTACTTACGATAAGGACTATGCTTTTTATTAAAACATATTTACGATTTCGATTTTATTGGTATTTTACATGAGCGGCAAGTTATCGTCAAAGAAACGACAAAAAACCGCGGTAAATTTGATTTCGTTTATCCTTATTTATTTTATTAGTAAACACCTTTTTGTAATTTTATTAAAGTATTAAAGGTTTATTTTAATGTTTTTTTTTATTTAAAACAGGAAGTTGGCGAATCTTAATGGGCTCGTTGGTGGGGTTCGATTTCCACCCGGTTCATGTTGAATCGATTTATAATCGTGTTAGACTTCGTCTGGAAATTTGGGTATTTAATGGGTAGAAGGTAAATCAAAATTTCATCCAGGCGTCGAACCGGCGTCCACAGATGGAAAAGTCATGAAGTTTAATCGCGTTTTACTTCGAGTCTCTCGATTCCCGAATATAGATCGCCATACCATAAAAAATAAGTAATTTTAATATATGCTGTCTCTAGTTTACGTGACTGACATACCGTAAAGGGAAAATTCGACATATATTACTTGGTTAAAGTTCCTGCTGTACCAACTTTGAGGATGCAGGTGGCGCTAGCGTAGCACATTTTCATCTATAATCCCTTAATGAAACTTCATCTCTTCATCCCTTCCACCTCTAAAGGATCATCAACGTCATGTCCTAGTTAAAACTAAATCGACTAATACAATCCGTTTTTAAACAGTTGAAAATTGATTAAATTACTTGTATATTGAAAGTTGTATATTGAAATATAATATTATATATATATAATTTAAGAGTTTAAAAATTCAGTTTCTTTAGAATAATTATTTTAGACGATATATTTTACATTGCTAGATAGTAGTTATTATAAGCATTTTTTCTAAATTAAAATCAAACTATATTTAAGTATTTCACAAGAATGCATATATATATACTGTAACTAATTTTGAATGTGTCAATAAAACATAAGTGTACTTATAAAATGGAAGAAAGCACTTGGATTGTGGATCCATATGTGGATATATTAGGTGGTTCGATACGTAAAATGTAAAATCCTATTCTATATGTATATCTCAGTTGAATATAAATTGTACTATGTATATATTTTATTAAAATTTAAATAAATCTGTAGTTTTCGGATAAAACACTTTTAACGGCTTATAACGTGCTAGGTCCTTCTGAAACAAAGAATACTTAAAGCCGCGCGCAACATCAGACCATCGTTTAAAATAAATCTAATGATCACGTCTTTACCGTTAAAAATGTTTTATTTAATAATAATTCAAAGTAGTGTATAGTACCAAGTTATTCTTCATAATTTCCTTGTATGTAACGGAAGTAGCACACAAGAAACAAACGTTAACTGTTTAAAACGCGATATATATACGTAAGTTTTCCTATATTCCTTTATTACGACCCGACATTTTGTCCCCAGTGAACACAACTGTTTAAAGGAATTTAATGGTGCCGAAAGGAGATAATTCCTAATATCAACGATAAATTTTCTACACTGGCGCTTCAAGTGTTTTATTTAATAGCGGGCGTATTTAAATAAAACAGTTTTAACAGTTTAAAACGCAAAATATATCAGTTATGTAAATTTTAATCAATTTTTAATACGGTCACAGTAGCCGTGGTCACGGAGGGACGTAGTTAAAAAATAAACGAATATATATCTGTAATTTAAAAATCGAAAATAAATTGAAAAAATATTCGATTCGGGCAGGACTTGAACCGTCATCATCAACGTTCCGTGCTGTTGCTCTACCAATTTAGCTATCGTGTCCTACACCTCATCGTCGAATTTTTTCAACTCATTGATACATGCACCTCTCAATATAATATATCTCGTTCAAAACGTTTTGAACTACTATAAATAAATTCTTCTTGGAAAAGCTCAGGGCTCGCAAAAACATAAGTCATTAAGTTTGTTATAAATGTAACATGACTTCGCGTTAGGAAACAGCGGAGATGCGATTTTATATTATCCATTTTGTTACTCAGAGGACAGTAATTACTTAGCGTCTTGCGGCGAAAACATACGGTTGTATATTTCAGCAGTCTTTTATTTACGTTATCTTTTTGTATACCCACCGCACTAGAAGGAGAAAATAGATTATGTTGGACATTAACCGACTTTTTAGTCAGTGGGGCTTTCCTCACAGTCGAACGTCTGACACAAGTACGAAGCATCCCGGAAACAATAGAACTCGCACGGTGCCTATAGCATTCTTACGTTTGGTTAGACCAACCATTTAAATAAAACTTTAACGGTTTAAAAGCGATTTTGGTAAACTTATTTAAATACAATACCTTAACGGTTTAAGGCGCGATATATTTTAGTTAAACTTGTTTGAAAAATATTTTAAACTACGGCCCGACGTTTCGGATGCTTTGCAGCAGCCGTAGTCACGGGGAGATAATTCATCCGAAACGTCGGGCCGTAGTTACAAATAATTCTCAAACAAGTTTAACTAAAATATATCGCGTTTTAAACCGTTAAAGCTTATAATCTACAGGTCTCGGGTTCGACACTAACTAGATCCAATATGTTTTTAAAAAATTTATACTTTTTCTAAAACATGTTAGGTCTATATGCCGTCCGAGTCACGAACCACCACTCTGTGGCTTCCCAAATATCCAAAGCCAATAGAGATTTACTAAAATTAATAAAACACTTATAATAGTCTAAAACTCGCTTTTTAATATACCGTAATTTATAGTATTTTATAGCAGCAGTAATTCACGTGTTTTTAACCGTTAAAAATGCTTTGAATTATGTTTAAGGTCATATAATCTACACATACAATTTAATTATTACAAGTTAATCTCAAAGCGTAAATTAATTACATTTTGTTGTACCTCACTTAAAATATATATATTTTTTGAGTCACTTAGCTTAACTAGATCGAAGCTTGGTGTAATTTCGTTTCGTATGTTTCCAGTGACGTGAGAATACAAAGAACGGTTTTGAAACATTTTTTATTCGTGCAGTTAAAAGGGTACAAATGTTGCGTGAAAAGTACAAGTACGGTTTGTACTAATTTAGACACCAGTGTTTTAAAATTGTCTTTTATATAATTATTATAATTTTCACATGTTTACATACACGAAAGCGACTCTGTAGCTGAATGGTTAACTGCGTTGCCTAGCTACGATGCTTGAACCCCAGAAATCTTTCGGTCGGGCAGGGCTCTGTTCTGTGCCCTGTTCGGCCGAAAATGCTGACAGCATTGACAATTTTTTTTATGATGTTAAAGATTGAAGACGAGTATATAATAAAATAAGTGCTAAAGTTTACTCCTCGCTTAACTGACTACCCACTCTATAAAAAATCCACAGGGTACTAATTGGTTAGACCAATAACGCTTTTGTCGCGGATTCGATTACCGACAGTCGATTTTATTCAAAATAAAATCTGTTTCTTTTTCTATTGTTTTTTTTTCACATTTTTGACAGTGGGAGAGACATTTGTCTGTGTGCCTCTTGTTCGACGTAATTCATTGGTAAGCGATTTCTGTTAAGATGATCTAGACAAAACGTCCACAACATGTCTACACTTTAAGACTTACTTGCAAGAACCGCTTTCATGGTAATCGAATTCGATCGAAATTAATGCATTATTACCAATTATTTGTTGTATCGCCAAAATAATATCTTCCCAACAACCAAATAACGTTTGTCGGGTCAGTTAGTAAATAATACAAGATTACGCTTTTTATCTCTTAAATTGTTTTTTTTTTTACATTCGTTCACGAAGTAGCAATATTTAAGAAGATTAAACATTGTTGTATATCCGTAATAGTAATCGTCCACTTAACTTAATGTAACTTATGTTTTTTCTTTAATCGTATCGGGGCTATTAAATGGAAAAACAATGGGAGGTAGTAAAACATATTTAGTGTAGCGTACTAATTAACCAGCTTCATAATCTTATTATTAGGCTTTTATTATTTTTAATAAATTTAATAAAAACTGTTCCAATGGTTTAAAACACGATATATATTATTTTTACTTATTAACAATTTATTATAACTACGGCGACGTTTCGGATGCTTTGCAGCAGTCGTCACTGGGGGACTGATGATGGAGGTTGTCCAGATGTACGCTAGCGCATCTTTTTCGCCGTACTTAGTTGGTATTTAATGTACTAAATTAACGTCAAAAGTGCCTTTATTTAAATACTAGCTGTGCCCGCAACTTTGTCCGCGTGAATTAGGGACTTGTTTGTTTATTAATTTTTGTAAGGGCGCATTTAGGGCAGACAATCTATGTTGTAAGTGCAACGTCACTCCTGCTCTAACTCGTAGGAGTTACACTAATTACTACACTCACTCCCACTCCTATTCTTAAAAACCAAAAAGAAAGTTTTATTGTTTAAGCTTCAAAAAACTACGAATTTCCATACAACTTTACAAGCCCCCTTCTAACCCCTTATAACCTTTTCGCAATAAAAAGCCTATATCCTTTCTCAGGGTCTAGACCATCTGTATACCAAATTTCATTCAAACCCGTTCAGTAGTTTTGGCGTGAAAGAGTAACAGACAGACAGACAGAGTTACTTTCGCATTTATAATATTACATTAGTAACGTTATTAGGATCGATGATTAGTAAGGATGTACTGCTCGCGGTAACTACGGACAATAATACAAGTAAGCTCTATGGGGATATTCAGTACTATCTAATTTTATGCCCCCCTAGTAACAAGAGCTATTGTTTATAATATATTAATCTTATCAATTCAAATTTAAATTATCTTTTCAGGGGTTGGCTTAATCGGGGCGTACGGACAATTTATTCAAACATTTGTGAAATATAATAAAACGGAAAAATAAGTATGTATGTTTATTACATAA